AGTACTCCATTAGAGCTCCACTGGCAGAAGGATGATGCTATGGATAACCCCAAGGCACGAGTTTCATGGAAATACGCCCAAACAGGAAAGCGGGATGGCCCAGTGCCACTAGTAACATGGGGACAAGGGTGTGCTTGTGTATTAACGGACAATGGAACCCTGTGCTGGGTGCCGTCCCAGACTGTGTGATCATGAACAGAGGACAACTGCAAACCTGTGGGGGAGCCTACTGCCACCACACCCACCAGTGTGATGATCCTGGAAGAAGCACCTCAGCTGGTGAGAACCACAGAATTGTCGAAACCCATGACATGGGGACCAGTGAAGATGACAGCCCAGGAGGCTGAAAGACTGATGATGAAATAGGGGCTCCCACATACCTCAGAAAATAAGTTTATTGCCTTGATGGTCATCATTGCTTGCAGTGCATGTGTAAGTCCCTTGTCTGGAAAGGCATATTGGCTGTATGTCCCCAAACCCCCTTTGTTACGACCTCTTATTTGGGCAGATTTTCCCAGAAGTTTAACATGATCATTCGAATTGGGTGTCAGGGATTTATGTGGCCTCCAAATTTATAGATACTAATATTACCTTAAATTATACATCACACTTCTTACATCCACCCTTGCCTGTCGAGCCCATATCCTTACAATCTAACTACTGCTTGTCTGGCACAAATCTGGGTGGTTCACCAGGAAAAACAATTCATAATTCTAGGAATGGGATCCACTGATATCTCAGGGGATTGGGTTAACACCTTTGTGCCCAATGTTGCCCTGTGTACACAGCTCCCACAGGTGGGAGCTGTAAAGGAGGCAGGGGTAAAAAACACACCTAAATCAATTTGACTTCATAGATTGGAGACCCTGAGCAGGATCAGAAGGAAGAGACAATCACTGAGCCCGTCATGTGGCCCACTGGCATTTTATAGTGACTGTTATGGAAGAAACACCTCTGTCATGTATAGGTGATGAGGAGCAGTTTGTGTGGCATGGGTCCAGCTTCATTCAGCAATATGGACTCCTTCAGAGGACATTTTGGAAACTGGCCCTTTGCTATTACTGGGCATCTGTTGGTGAAAAGTGGAAGGGACATTTATACAAATTTACTGATAATACCTCCATTATGCAAATGTGGAAAAACAAAGTCATGTGGTTTTCCACATGTATATGCAACCCTTGCTTTTTTTATATGGGACTGTTGAATGGAATCTACCTCATTTACATGTAGAGAATGTATGTTGAACAACTGTGTATCAACTGACACCTTAGCAAACAAGACTTTACTAGTCTTGGGGTGTATGCCTGGAGTCTGGATGCCTGTGAATCTTATGGCATCATGGGCCGATACTCCTGCTATTTACCTGTTGCAATCATTGACTGATCACTTTGTGTGCTGAACAAAAAGGATGTTAGGATTTATTATTATAGAAATGATCTCTTTGGTATTATTAATTTCCAGTGTTGCTATATCTTCTGTAGCTCTCATTTACTCTATGCAAACTGCTCATTTTGTAAATAATTGGACTGGAGCTACAGACAAAGCCTAGAATATACAACATTCTACTGATACACAATTACAGCCACAAATCAGCGTTTTAGAGACCACTGTTATGTGGATGGGAGGTCAAACAGAAAGTCTGCAGTTACAACAGGGCTCCAGGATCATTTTAATATGACTCGGTATTATGTAACTCCTCTTATGTATAACCAGTCTACCTGTCCTTGGGAACGTTAAAAAAAAAAAAAGCACATACAAGATTCTGTGCAGAGTAATACAAGTATTGATTTAGAGGCATTGCAGAAAGAGGTATTATCTATGTCTCAGCAGAGTCAAAATTTTGATAAACAAGATTGGGATAAATTTGGTGATACTTTTGATCAGCTTAATCCATGGAACTATTGCAAAGCCCGTTTTAGATTTCATACTGGCTTGATTATATCAACGTGTTTCTGTCTCATATTTTGCCACAGGAAAAGCCAAACCAGACAACGCCGAGACGCTCTTCAACCTTAAGTCATGCTGTTTCAACTGCCGCAATTACAAAAACAGAAAGGGGGAACTGCTGGGGACCAGGCTATGTGGTAAATTATGGAGGGTCCCCTGACTACGTGACTTAAGCCTCGCAGTACTGAGGTCGATGTTATCTGGCCTCAGGTGTGTGGAAGGCCACAGGCCCCCTGAATATGGAAAGAATGCTGATAACCCAGCATTACTGAAGCAAGATAGAATCTGCTGAGGACAGTTGTCAAAATACAGGCGTCGGGGTACGGAGAAAATCTGACTCCTCATTAATTTATTTTTTATCTATACATTCTTTATAGTTGCTGTTCCATGAAATGGGTGTCACCCCTAGTAGGTTCTTGCTTGCTAATAAAAGTGGGTCAGCCATGAGATTGGTGTGCTTGTCCACTAGAGACAAGTTCCTCTCAGTCCCCCTTGTACCTTAAATTTTGTCTTTTGTCTTTCTTTATTTCCCGCCGTTTCCCCCTCAGATATCTGGGGATCTAATCAGCCCACGGCAAGACAGGGTCTCACTAAGTTGCCCAGGCTGGCCTTGAGCCTCCTACCTCAACCTCCTACCTCAACCTCCTACCTCAACCTCCCAAATAGCTGAGATTATAGGTGTGCACCACCATACTCAGTGTAAAAGAACTTCTTTTCTTCCAGTAGTGGGGATTGAACTCAGAGGCTTCAAACTGAGCTACATCTCCAGCAAGCTCTCCCTTTTTTTAAGACAGGCTCTAACTATGTAGTTCAGGCTAGTCTTGAACCTGCCTCAGCCTCCCGAGTGCTGGGATTACAGGTGTGTGTCAGCAGGCCTGGTCAAAAGAACTTTTAAATAAAAATATACAAGTAAATAAAAGATAATGTGCTTCTGTAAAAATAAAATATGTAAACTACTATTTCAGTAACAACATTAAAATTTTAAAAAATCAATAGCAAACATTCAGAGTTTTCTACGTCCTGGATTCATTGCATATTTGTGTTAATTATCTATTGGTGCATGAAAAACTATCCCCAAAATTTAATACCTTAAAATAACAAACACTTATATGTTGTAAAGGTTCAGTGGGTCAGGAATCAGGTGACAGTATAGTTGTGTGTTTCTGGCTCCAAGTCTGTCATAAAGATGCAGTCCAAATGTTGGCTAGAGCCAGGTATGGTGGTGCATTTCTGTAATCCCAGTACCTTGGGAGGCTGAAGCAGGAGGATCACAAATTCAAGCCCAGCATGAGCAATTTAGTAACTCAGGTAGGCCTTTTCTCAGATAAAAAGAGGTGGTGGCGGTGGAGGATGCTAGCTCAGTGGGAAGACCCTGGGTTCAATTTCCAGTACTGCGCAAAAGAGAATAGAGGAAGGGAGGGAGAAAAGCATAGAGGAAAAAAAAGAAAGAGCTAAATCCCATTAAAAAAAAAGAAAAGAAAAGAAAAAGGCCTGGGGATGTAGCTCAGTGGTGGAGTGCTTACCGAGCATTTATGCAGTCCCTGGTTCAAATCACCAGTACCAAGAAAAAAAATTAGTTTTGAAATTTGCCTATCATAGTAAAAGATTCTACTTAATTATTTGATTTACGTAAATGTTATCGTATTAATATATTTCCCCTTCTTCCAATAATTTAGAGTTGATGAAGCACTGAGCAACATTCTCAGCCCTTTTAAAAATATGAATGACCAGGCATGGTGGCGCACGCTTGCAATCCCAGCACTTGGGAGGCTGAGGCGGGAGGATCACTGCAGGTTTGAGGTCAGCCTGGGCTACATAGTGAATTCAAGGCCTGTTTGAACTCCATAGTGAGACCCTATCTCAAAAAAAACAAAACAAAAAGTATGTATGGATGGATGTATTTTCAGGCAGGGTCTCACAAAGTTGGTATGTTACCTGGGTTTAGCTTAATTTTGCAATCCTGCCTCAGGCATTCAGAGTGCTAGGATTACAGGTATGCACCATCATTAATGCAAACTTTTGTACTCCTTGCTTTATGCTGTTGTGGTGGTGGTTGTTTATGTTTTGTTTTTGTTAAAAACAAGGAAATTCTTGCGGTCCTGCTGGGCATGGTGGCACACGTCTTTAATTCCAACATTTGGGAGGCTGAGGTATGAGGATCACTGTGAGTTAGAGACGCGCTTGGGCTACATAGTGAGACCTTGTCTCAAAAACAAAACAAAGCAAAACAAAACAGTTCTTGCTGTTCTGGTCTGGGCTGCAGGAATAAAGGAGCAGCGTTCAGCTGGATTTAGAGGGTGAGAAACACACTGCTTCAGAATTCAGACGGAGTATTTGTATGTGTGCCCACTCATGGATAAAATAACTGAGACCTACAGCCCAGCAAAGTCATTGTACAGATTACCGGCAGCGCCCAGACATGGAAAAGAGGTCTGTCAAGGCTGGGGATGTAGTTTGGTGGGCAGCGCTTGACTACCATGTTAAGGCTCTTGGTTCCCTCGCCAGCCTCCGCAGAGAGCAGTACTTTCTGCAGACCAGGGAACCGCGTTCCTCACCTCTCATCCTCACCCCATCCCCACTGCTCAGAATCAGCGCTAACTGGATTTAGCAGCAGATAAGAAAGAAGCAGGACTAATAGATCCTTCAGAAGCCCGAAGAGGCTCAGAACGGAAGGGAAACCCGCTCCCCAACTTCTCCGCTCGCTGTGTGAAAGATTTCTCTCCCCTTGGTTCTGACTCAGTCCTGACTTGTGGTCCTGGACTGGAGCGTCTTGCTTTGTTTTTTAAGTGGGGAGGTGTGGGCGCAGAACAGCGAAAGATTTATTTCACGTAGACGTTATCCGGGAGAAAGCGCTCAAACTTCTCAGCCACAATCAAAATGGAGCTGCCCCGCCCCGCCCCAGTGGCTAGACAGCGGGTGACAGGAACACTCTTTCCAAAATGGAACGGGACAGGGAGAGAAAATGTCCATCACATATCTCCCCGCCCCCAGAGGCAGCTAACACCAATCACTAGCGTGTAGGGCGGGGATAAAACCAGGGGCGGAGCCTGCTGTTGCCCTAGCAACAACCAAAGGCACCCAAGAGGAGCGCGGCCGCGTACAAAGGTCCTGGGAGAGGCGTGAGCTAGGTCTGGGTCGGCGCCCGTGGAGAGAAGGACAGGTCAGGCCCATGAGCTACAATTCCCTTAGCCGCTTTCGTCTCTCCTAACGGTTAAGAGCGCTGAGGTAGGAATAACGCATGCGCTGCACTTAGAGGCGGCGCTAAACCGGCCCTGCATTCGAGATGCGGGCGCCTCTTGGAGCTCGGGAGCCGAGCAGACGCGAGGGGGCGGGACCCTTGCGGTGGGCGGGGCCATAGTGCCCTGGGGCGGGGCTTTCCCCGGATTGCTGGGTAGATTTATTTTAGGCGCGGAAAAGCCCAGGGTTGCTTCCCCCAGTTCTTCCCTGCTTTCCTGGGAGGCAATTAGGCTCTGTGGTTAAGACCGCAGCGTCAGTGGGCTGACGAAACTAGCTTGGAATCCTAGTACTGCATTTTACATGATGGGCCTCAGTTTCCCCACCTTTCACGTGGAAATAATAACACACTTACCTCCTAGAGCTGAGATTATGTTTTTCCCCTCCCAGGGCCATGGCTGAGGTGCACGTGATCGGGCAGATCATAGGGGCCACCGGTTTCTCTGAAAGTAGCCTCTTCTGCAAGTGGGGCATCCACACAGGTATTCCTCAGGCCTGGTTCATCTCCCCAGCATGGCACCAGCCGCCCTAGCCTAGGCTCCACTCCGCTTTCTTGAATCCCTGATCCTCACTTACTCTTGGCTGTCAGGACTCCTCGCCCAGACCACAGATCTTTGTCTCCCGTCTTATCTTTTTTTCCATCCTGCCTCTGGCAGCTCTGGCTCCTCCCCTCTACCCTGGCAGCTCCTGAGGAAAAGGGACTGTAGGCTAATCGCCCCGCCAGCCCGTAATTCCAGTCCTCAAAACAATAGCACTAACTCTGCTGTTTGGCTTGTACCCTGTAGTCCTAGTGGTGCCCCCTAGGGCTCTCCCCTGTCTCAGTTCTTTGATTAATAGTCTCCATTTACTGAATCCTTACTGCAGAGTGAAAAGCTTCTATCCCAGGTTTGCGGAGGAGAAGACACTCTGGTATTTATAGTTCTCTGTGTACTCCATTCTAGCAGTCATCCAAGCCTGTTCCCACGGCCCAGGAGGGACCTTGGAAGCCCCATTTCCCAAGCCTCCCCTTCTGAAGCTCTGTGGATAGTGGATAGTGTAATGATGAGGGCTCTAAGCTGCCAGGTCTGGTTTCAAATACTAACTTTCCTACCTATTAATTGGGAGGCTTTGGACTTGACCTCTAGGAGTTTCAGCTTCTTTGTCTGAAAATGATAGCACTCGGGAGGCTGAGGCAGGAGGATGGTTGCAAGTTCGGGTTCAGCTTGGGCTACAAAGTGAGCTCAAGGCTGGCCTGAACTGCATATCAAGATCCTGTCTCAAAAAGACCAAACAAACAAACAAACAAACAAAAAAAAACAAAATGAAAGAAAGAAAAACAAAGAATAAGGGGCTGGGGATATAGCTCAGTGGCATAAGCGCCTGTCTGGCAAGCGCAAGGTCGTGAATTCGATCCCTGGTACCGCAAAAGAAAATAAAAATTAAAAAAATAAAAAATAATAGAAAAGAAAAGAATAGCAGCTAAAAGGTAGTGCAGGATTGAAGTTAAGACCACAGTCTTTCTGTTGAAAATCAGTTGTTGCTTCCTATTATGTAACCTTGGACAATTCTGTTGGTCTTGCTTTCCCTGTGTATACAGTGGGAGTAATAATGGTACTTAACTTGTGTGGCTGTCCTCAAGACTAAATGATTATCAGCAACCTTAGACTAGGGCCTTGACTACAGAGCCCTCGGTAAGCGTTTGCCTGGGTCACAAATGGCTTTGACGGGGTCTTGTCTGTAAAGTCCTATGTGTGTTGTTGCCTGTCACAGATAAATGTCCATGAGACAGATGTGGTTATTGCCATTATCATCCTTTTAGGCCTGGGTCCTTTCTGGTTTTACTGGAAAGTGAGGTAGCAATTGATTTCCCTGGGAAATTGAGACCCCCCCAACTGAGCAGAAAAAAGGCAGGCTTTGGAGCCCGGCTTGGTTTTCAGCCTGGACGCCGCCACTCGTGTGCTGTGTGACCCTGGGCAGATGCTGTCCCGTCTAGGAGTTCAGAATAAAGGAGAGAAAAGGGGGGAAAAAAAAGCAGATAAAGAAACAAGCACAATGATTACAGATTGTTGTATTAGGAAGAAAATAAATGGGATTTTATGATAAGGACTAGTCTTAGAATAGGAGGGTCAGAGAGTCCCCCCTCTGTGGAGTGGTACTTGAGCTGAGCACTGAAGGATTAAAAAATTCCAGGAGGAATACCAGTGCAAAGGCCCTGAGGTACTAGAACATGAATGGGGCCAGTGAGGCTTCTGAGTAGTGAGGGAGGGGAAGAGTGATGGGAAATGAGCCCAGGGAGGTGGGCACAAGCCAGGGTATGCAGGGCATTGTGGGCCTGTAAACTGGGGAGTAGTGTGGAGGTCAAGAGTCCTAGGGGGCAGATTTAATGAATGCATTGATTAAAGTGCTTAGCATGGCAATTGGTGTTCAGTAAGTACTCAGTGTGTTCCTTATTTTATAACCCCTTAGTAGGGTCACCATTCAGACCTGTTTTCACTGGGTGTGGTGGGACCAGCACTTGGGAGGCTGAAGCAGAAGGATCACCCATGAGTTCTAGGCCAGCCTAGGCTACTCAGCAAGACCCTGTCTCAAAACAAACAAACACAAAAACCTGTTTTCATGATGTGCTTCTGCAGGGTGACCTTGGCCCCATCTGAGTCTTTGGACAGGCCTTTATGTATGGGATGAGAATAATAAAATGTTCCTGGAACTGGGGATATGGTTCAGTGGTAGAGCGTGTGCATAACACGCACAGAGTCCAGGGTTCCATCCCTAGCACCAAAACAAACCAAAATAACCAATAGCAACCAAGAAGACTTACCCTATACTCATTACGGATCTTCTTGAAATTATAAAACACATTATTTCGAGGCAGAGACAAGTAACTTGCCCGACGCCGCACAGGTAGAAAGAGAGAGTGCCAGGATTCGAACCCAGACATTTGGCTGCTGAGCTCACCCTTTTAACCCTCACTGCCATCTTGAAATGCTAGGGAGAAGTAGGCCTGGAGCCATAGTGGCCTCCCCTTCCTAAAGGCAACCTGACTGTCCAACCCACCCTGACTCTGTCCTCCTTACAGGGGCAGCATGGAAGCTCCTGTCGGGCGTGCGGGAGGGCCAGACACAGGTGGACACTCCCCAGGTGGGGGACATGGCCTACTGGTGCCACCCCATTGACCTGCACTTCGCCACCAAAGGTCTCCAAGGTGGGTAGCAGGCCTGGCCCGGGGACTAGGCTGAGAAGATGGGGTACAGCAGCTGGGGCTGGAAACACCCCATCTTGTCTCATGGGTCCCTTCTAGCCAAGCGTGCCCTGGAAAGGCTGAGCTGAGGCCGTCAGGCCTGCAGTACAGGAGTGAGATGGACCGGGGCCAGGGGTCGGAAGGGGTAGGTCAGGGTCAGGATGAGGGTAGAGGAAGTGGCTGGCAAGTAAGGGACAGACAGCCAGGGCAGGCGCTAAAGAGGGAGCTGGGAGAGGTTGATGAAGGTCAAGGAAGGGTGGTGGGGAAGGAGGGAGAGGGCAAGGGCTGGTTGCTGTTCTTAGGAAGGGCTCCCCAGCCGGAGAGCTGAGTCCTCTCAAAAGGGAAGTGAGTATTGGGGGAGGTGGGGTATCAGTTCTGGTAGAAAGTGCAACAGATTCCAGGAAGTAGCCTGGGTAGAGGTGCCGTGTGTCTCCGCAATGTCAGTACCGTTTACTGACTGCCGGCCAAGCAGCCCGCCTCCCTGCTGTCTTCAGGGGCTCCCTCCTGTAGGGGAGACAGACCTATCTCCAGACGGGGCCAGCCCCGAGTGGACAGGTCTGGGGGCGGTTGTGGAGGAGCTAAAAAGACTGCAGGCCAGAGAGGGCTGCAGGCAGGGTTCTGAGTGTGTGGCAGGCTCACGGGGGAGAGTGAGCCCAGACATTCAGGGGGCGATGGGAGCGCAGAGGATGGCGGGGGTTAGCATGGAGGGGACAGGCTGCGCAAGGCCTTGACTGCTGTCCCCCAAGATGCTGGGAGCCGCAGCTCTTTCTGGCCGCCACATGTGATGATGGATTGGAGAGTGAGGCGGAGAACTCTGTCCTTCCTGCTTGTCGGGTCCCCAGCCCCTCGATGCTGGTTCCATCCCGCCTCCTTGTTTCTCAGCCCCGCATTATATACCCGTGAGGAAATCCTGGCAACTCTCCCTGTGGGGGGAAAAATCTTTTTTTTGGTTTGTTTTTGAGACAGGGTCTCACTGTATAGTTCAGAGTGGCCTTAAACTCATAATGATCCTCCTGCCTCAGCCTCCTGAGGGTTGGGATTATAGGCATGTGCCACCATGCCTGGTGCTCTCCCTGTGAAATTTACCCTAACTTCCACTTCTCACCCCCTTTCTGCCTAGCACCTGATCTGCCCCTCTTCCTGTCTTTCCTGGATTATTTAGTAGCATTAGCACTGTGCTCCCAGCCCCGGGGGCCTGTGCCCCATAGGCAGCCAGCAGGGCTCAGGAGGCATCTAAATTGGGACACATCTTTCCTCTGCTCAGAAGCTTTCAGGGATTCCTGTCTCATTCAGGGTAAAAGACAGACTCTTTCTTTCTTTTCTTTTTTTTTTTTTTTTTTTTTTGGTTTTTCTCTGGTCCTGGGAATTAAACTCACGACCTTGCACTTGCCAGGCCAGCGCTGTGCCGCTGAGCTAAATCCCCAGCCCCAAAGACAGACTCTTTCCATGTGTCACAGGTGCTTGTACAATCTGGTTGTCATTTTGTTTTATTTTTTGAGACAGGGTCTCACTATGTAACCCAGGCTAGCCTCGAACTGGCATTAATCTTCCTGCCTCAGCCTCCATAGTGCTGGTATTACAGGTGTGGGCCCCCATGCCCTGCCTGGTTGTCACTTCTGTTCCTTGTCCTCTTTCTCTGACCCAGCCACACTGGCTCCACCAGGCTCATGCCCACCTCAGGCCTTTTGCACTTTTGGCTTGGATTTCTCTTCCCTTAAATGCCTACACAGCTCACTCCTTTCTCTCCTTTATTTGTTTAAAAGTCATCTTCTTGCTGGGCGTGGTGGCACATGCCTGTAATCCCAGCATTTGGGAGGCTGAGGCAGGAGGATGGTTGCAAGTTTGAGACCAGCCTGGGCTATAAAATGAGCTCAAGGCCAGCCTGAACTGCATAGTGAGACCCTGTCTCAAAAAAAGATAAAAAAAAAAAAAAAAAAAAAAAAAAAAAAAAAAAAAAAAAAAAAAGTCATCTTCTTAAATTCAAACATATTAAACGAAAAAAAAGTCACCTTGTTAGTGAAGCTTTCTTGATCTCCTTTCCCAAACCACACCCCCACCCCCAACCTACCCGGCTTTATTTTTCTCCAGAGCAGTTATCACCATCTGACATACCCTATAATTTGCCTATTTACTATGTTCGTTGTCTAGGATGTCAGCCTCACAGGGCAGGAATTTTTGTCTGCTGTGCTCACCACTGTGTCCCTAGGTCCTAGAACAGGGCCTAGCACAAAGGAGGGGCTCAGAATAGAGGGTGAGCTGACCCTACGGAAGGGGAGAAAACAGGCTTCTTAGCCAGGCGTGGTGGCACACATCTACCATCCCAGGACTCTGGAAGGCTGAGTCAGGAGGATCGAGTTTGGGCCTAGACCGAGCAATTCAGTGAGACCCTGTTCCAAAATAAACAATAGAAAGGGCCAGGGATGTAGCTCTGTGCGAAGGCCCTGGGTTCCATCCTCAGTCCTGGGAGGAAAAAGAAAAAAAAGCTTCTGGCTGCCCGCTGGTGGAAGATGGGACAGGAGCAGAAAGAAGGCCCTGGGTCCTAGGAGGACAAGGCAGGGCCATGAGAAAGGGCAGGTGACATACGGGACAGAGCCCAAGGTGCTGATCTGGAGACTAGAGGAGCGGCAGGCTTTCCTGCCCGGACACTGAGGAGCAGACCAGAACAGGAAGCCGGCAGAGGTCAGATGCAGGGCCTCGATTATCAAGGAGACTGAACTTCATACTGAGGGCACTGGGGCCCCTTGGGCGGCTTCTTCAGAGCAGGGGAGAATAGTGGGTGCAGAAAGATCCCCTCTGCTGCTTGGGTGGAAAGGGGATGGGAGCCCCAGAAGAGGTGGAGAGAAACCTCAGGGGAAAGGACCAAGCCTAGGTCTCCGGGGGGATCAGGGAGGTGGGGACCCAGGAGCAGGAGGCTGGGCCCCACCGTCTGTCCTTTCTTCTCCATCCTGTCCTGCAGGTTGGCCCCGGCTCCATCTCCAGGTGTGGTCCCAGGACAGCTTCGGCCGCTGCCAGCTCGCCGGCTATGGCTTTTGCCATGTGCCCAGCAGCCCAGGCACCCACCAGCTGGACTGCCCCACATGGCGGCCCCTGGGCAGCTGGCGGGAGCAGCTGGCCAGGGCCTTTGTGGGTGGTGGGCCGCAGCTGCTACATGCGGACACTATCTACAGTGGGGCTGACCGATACCGCCTGCACACGGCCGCTGGTGGCACCGTGCGCCTGGAGCTTGGCCTGCTGCTGCGTCACTTTGACCGCTATGGTGTCGAGTGCTGAGGGATCTTGCCTGCAAGAGCTGGCCGTCATTCACAAGCCTGGCCATGTGCTGAGGCCGGGGTGGCACAGCAGTCGAGATCAAGGGCCCTGGAAACAGACCCGATCCGAGCCAGGCATGGCCGCCGCCCTTCGCGCCCCTGGGCCGTCCCCAGTAAGGCCTGTGCAGTCCTAGTTCCCCATGGGTCATGTGGGGTAGTAGGTGTGGGTCACAGGGGTTGGGAGGAAAATGCTGTTTAGCACATGAGAGGTGCTTAATAAAAGTGAGTGATTCTTGCGTGTGTGGCACCTTCCTGACCCCCTCCTCCCACTGACACCCTGCCTGCTCAGGGCCCCGTCTTCGGTCAGTCCCTCTGCCCCCGCCCCTCACTCCCTTCCCGTCAGGGGTGCCCTTGCTCTGAGACTCCTCTCCCGTGTCCCCATTCTCAGATGTTGCCCTCCCCGCCAGATCCCCATTTTCTCGGTGACCCCACACCAACCCCCGAAGCCCCTATCCATCTCTGTCACCCGCTTTGGTAGCGCGCCGCCGCCAGGAGGCAGCACCCTGTCCGTGGGGCGGAGCCGGTGTGCCCGCCCCCTCCCGCGGGGCTGAAGGGACCCCCCTCGGAGCCCGCCCACGCGAGATGAGGACCGTGGCCCCCCCATGCCCTCCCCCTGGGGCTGCCCCCGCCCCGCGCGCGCTTCCTGGGTGGGGCCGGGCGGCTTCAAAACCCCCGCGCCGCCCAGCCGGTCCCCGCCGCCGCCCTTCGCGCCCCTGGCCGTCCCCCTCCTTCCTCCCGCCGCGGATCCACCAGACCGCGAGGCCCCGGCCGGGGCAGGGGGACGCCCCCTCCGGGGCACCCCCGGCTCTGCGCCGCCCGCGGGGCCGGCCTCCTCCCGGAGCGGAGGAGGGAGCCTCGAGGCAGCCCGAGGCCCCAGAGTCTGAGACTAGCCGCCGCCGCCGCCACTGCGGGGAGGAGGGGAGGAGGAGCGGGAGGAGCGACGAGCTGGTTGGGAGAAGAGGAAAAAAAGTTTTGAGACTTTTCCGCTGCCGCTGAGAGCCGGAGACGCGGGGACCGCTTGGCGCAGCGCTGCCCCGCGAGGAGGCAGGACCTGCGGACTCCAGACCGCCCCCGCTCACCGCCTCTGACGCAGGCTACCCCCGACACAGCGTCCCCCTGGCGTCCCCATTCCGGACCAGCGCTCAGGAGCAGCAAACCCCGCCTCCCGCGAAGACTTCACCCCAGACCCGGGGCGCACCCCCCTGCACGCCACCCTCCCCCACCCTTCTCCCGAGCCCCCGCAACCTAGGACCCTCTCTCCTCCGGGCGACGGATCTCTCCCAGACCTGCCACAGCTCCCCTATCCAAGACCACCCCGCTTCTGGTACCAGATCTCGCCCACCTCGATTTTTTCCGTGGGATATTGAGACACCCCGTGACCGAGCCTCCCAAAGACCCCTGCTTCGTTCTCCCCGAAGGACTCAATTTCCCCCGAGACCCTCCTACCTTTCCCCGGGAGACCCCCAGCCCCAGGAGGGGCGGGGCCTCCCCATCCCACCTCTGCCCTGTTCGCGCTCTCGGCGGTGCCGGGGGTCGCCGCCTCCCCCATGCCGCCCTCTCGGCTGCGGCTCCTGCCGCTTCTGCTACCGCTACTGTGGCTACTGTTGCTGACGCCTGGCCGGCCAGCCTCGGGACTGTCCACCTGCAAGACCATCGATATGGAGCTGGTGAAGCGGAAGCGCATCGAGGCCATCCGCGGTCAGATCCTGTCCAAATTGCGCCTCGCCAGCCCCCCGAGCCAGGGGGAGGTACCGCCCGGCCCGCTGCCCGAGGCCGTGCTCGCTCTGTACAACAGCACCCGCGACCGGGTGGCCGGGGAGAGCGCCGAGCCAGAGCCCGAACCCGAGCCGGACTACTATGCCAAGGAGGTCACCCGCGTGCTAATGGTGGAGAACAACCACAGTGAGCTCGGAGGGGCCGGGGAGCCGGGAGGGGGCCCCCAGGGGGCGCCGGAGTGCAGGGGTCACGGGAAGGAAACTACCGGCAGAGGAAACTGGCTGGAGGACGGGGACCCCCGGGGGCTCCGGGAGCGCGTGTTGGAGGGGTGGTGTTCCAAAGAGGATGGCACTGAATCCTACTCCCCCCTCAGCTGTCTGGTCTTAAAAAGGAGGAGTTAGCGAGCCAAGTGGACTACTGCAAGAAGGCAGCAGGAGCATGCGGGATCGTGGGGAGAGTCCCCTAGAGGCACAGAAGCGATGTGGGAGGGCGAGTGGAAGAAGGCTCCCTTCAGGCCGCGCTAGAATGCGGGGATCTCTTTTTCAGAGAGGGGACGCCAGAGTTTGGGAAAGGAGAGGCAATGGGGAAAGCTGACCCAGAGCTCAGGGGTCCTGAGGTGGAGGTTCGAGGTTAGAAAAACTAGGTGAAGCGAACCTCAGAAGTGCCAGGAGAAGCGCAGAGGACTCACTTCCAGAGAGCGCCGGGACCACGCGGGGCAGGGTGGCTCGGGGAGAGAGTGACTGTGGGTTTGGTGTGATAAACGCCGGGGAGAGGGAGGTCAGGTCGTAGGGAGGAGGAAGGTAGCGGGAGAGGGGCGGAGACGGGGCGAAGCGGGTGTTGGAGAGCCGGGATGCGCGGGGAGATGCACGGACCGAGAGATAGCGCAGAGTTCCGCGGAGGAAGCGAGCCCTCAGGAAATCTAGAATACTGGTGATGGGACAGGAGTTTCAGAAAGGAGAGCCGGGCGTGGGAAAGGTAGACCCGCGACGTACGCTCGCCGCAGAATGGGGTGGGAGTGAGTTGAGTGAGTAATCGTGCCCTGGGCGAGGGGCGACACTGCAAGACCGAGGTGAGAAAAACGAGTTAGTAGGGGTGAGAAAGCCCCACGTGGGTGCCATGCGCGGGGGGGGGGGGAGGTGCTGAGCTTCCAGAGGGGTCAGGAGGACCCGGTAGAGCTGAACGCTGGCAGTCTGGACCTTGAAGTCCCAGTTCCTCTTGGGGAAGCTGGGGAAACCCCAGCGTCCGGCGGCCGCGCCCTCCTCCCTTCCCTTTCCTTCTCTTGCCCCGAGGGGGCGGGGATCGCGCGCGGAGCCTGGGGCGAGACAAGGCAGGTCTGGTCCCCGCCCTCGCGGCTGCGTCGCCTCCCGCCCTTCTCACCCCGGCAACAGGCGGGGCTCCTCCTGGGTCCGCCCCGTCTGCGCCCACGCGAGGGCCCAGGCAGGACCCAGGCATCCTGCGGGGCCTGGAGCCTCGGTAGCCGTACCCAGTTTTCAGTTTCTCCCTTGGGCGGTGGGTTTTCGGCTTTTACCATTTCTGCTCCCTGTTTTGTGGCCCAACGATGCCCCCTCCTCACCCGCCTCTCAGTGTGGCCTTTTTTCTGTACAAGGAAAAAAAGGCACTTTTTTTCCTGTCCAGAGAATTTTATTTCTCCCGCAAACCCTCATGTCTCATCTTCCGTGAGCCTCATCTCCCGCCTTTTCCTTCTCTCCCACCTTTTCTTTCTCTTCCGCATCTCCCGTGCCTCCCTGGGTCTGTGTATAGATCACCTAGTGTTTGTCTCTTCCATCTTTGCCGGCTCCCTTTTTCTTCTCCACACCCGGTCCCGTGTCTCCGTCCTTTCTCTTCCCTACCTGCCACTCTGTCCTGTCAAAGGTTCTGCCTTTCCTTTGGGGTTTGCGGAGCAAGGGATGGGCCAAGAACTGGGCTGGGGTTTGGGGGAGTGGGGGCTATGGACCACAGGAAGGGGTTTCCTCTTTCCTGCATCGGCTTCTCTGCACTGTCTTGTACCCGCACCGCATAGGAAACCCACAGGAATTGTTCCAGGTGATCTAGGCGTTCACAGCCTGCCCTTCATCCCAGCTGCGAACTTTCCCTAGACTACACAACACTCTCCTTAACCCCACTGCCCCCGCAGTCGTTCTGACCTAGAAGCTACTTAACCTTCTTTAACTGGCTGGGAAGGGAGTTAAGGGAGGAAGCAATTAATAATGATCATAATAATAGTATCACACTGGCAAGAAGGTAGCAGAGTTGTTAAGAGTCGTCTCTGGGATGAGACTACTTAATCTCACTCTGCCACTTCCTAGCTATATGACGTTGGGGCAGATTAGTTTCTCCATCTATTAAATGGATATAATAGTTTCTTTCTCCTGGCTTTGTGAGGTTTTAATGTCTTCATCTTTGTAAAGTGTTTTGAATAGCATCTGGCAAATGACACTGTTGAACAGAGATGCTATGAGTGACTGGTATATCCAGGACTGTATCTCATGCCTTCACTCATTTGCTCCTGTAATCCTGGAATTGGGAAGTATCTTATAGCTGAAGCTCTGACTCAGACAGAGGAATTCACTTGCTGCAGATTACCGGTGTTTCAATTCGGGAAGCCTGGGTTGGATCAGCCAGCTTGATGTTATTGCTGTCTTTCAAAGAATAACAGGAAACTGAGGTACAGAGAAGGGGTGTGAACTGCCCAAGGTCACACAGCTGAGATGCAGCAAGAAGCCCTTGACCCTTACTCTGCAATTTAATTTGCATTTCAGGCTCTAAATCTTAAGCCCTAGGAAAGCCCCAGCAAACAGAGCAGCTCCCTTGAAGGCAGCCGCTTGCTAGATGTACACTTGATCAAAGCCGCTTCATGGGATAGAGGGTGGTGTGACCGGTCCTATAGAGGACGAAGCAAACCTAGAAGGGTCTCAGAGCTAAACAGTATCAGAGTGGAACTCCAACCCAGAGCTGTCAATGCCAGAGCCCACTCACCTAGACTTAGGGTATACCTGTTCTCCACGCCCTCGCCAAACCTCCAGTACCTTATCTTTCTGTTCTTCCCAACTAGATATCTATAAAAGCATCGAGACTGTTGCGCACAGTGTATATATGTTCTTCAACACATCAGAGCTCCGGGAAGCTGTGCCTGACCCTCTGTTGCTGTCTCGGGCAGAGCTGCGTATGCAGAGACTCAAGTTAAGCGTGGAGCAACACGTGGAACTGTACCAAGTAAGGCCAGGAGCCTGAGCTGTGGGGCGCAGGCCGCAAGGGCTGAGCTGTGGCCAGGTGGGCTGGTTGGAAGGTTGCTGGCTGCAGAGTTTATGTTATTAGTCTCTGAAGGGCTGAGGAGCATGAACTGCAGAATCCTAGGGATCTTCAAAATGTTCCAATTCTTGAAGGGAGATCTTAGAAGTTGGACTCTTTTTAAGAATGCAGGACAGGTTGGGGGTATAGTATAGTGGTAGATCACTTAGACCATTTACCTAGCATGTGTGAGGGCTTAGGTTCCGTCCCCCATACCAGAGAGAGAGAAAGAAAGAAATGTAGTACTCTTGCAGAGGTGGAATATCTGGGGAGTGCTGGGAGAGTCTAGAACTGGATAGTACTTTCCAGAAAGGGTCCAAAGTCTAGAACTTTCCAGAAAGTTCTTATGGAGGGCTGCACTGCTCTAGAAGATGAAGTCTCCAAGAACATTGAGGCCTCCAAGAGGGCTGGAGTCTCTAGAACATTCTATGATCTAGAATTCATGTCCTATGGAACCTTATAGGATGGCACATGTTAGACTGTCATAATGACAGCTGTTTGTCTAATGTTAGCTTCTTGAAATCTAGGAAATGCTCTGTATGCTGTGGCCCCTGATGTACTACATACAGCCCTAGGGACTGTTCCACACAGCATCTAGGGGCAGTGCTTGTCAGATTCTTGTAGATGGGTAGTGTTCTAGAACTATTTAGGTTTGTTATGTGTATCATTCTTGGGATGATACTGAACCCTCGAATTAGGAAATGACTTTTAACATGAACCCCTAGAAACTTGACTGCGAATCCAGGGTGTCAAATTTGCTGGCCCGTATGCTTAGCAAACCCCAGAATGTTAGCAACTTAGCATTATAGGCTGTCTAAGCTGCAAGGGTCCTAGCATTCTGCCAGGGAGAAAACAGGCCTAGAGAGGGAAAGGTGGCTACAGCCCCACAGAGCATCACAGGTAAAGGATGAGGTGGCCCTCGCTGCCTTGACCCCAGCTGGGAGCTCTCTCCTCTCTTTCCAAAGGTGCTACAGGCAAGGGTGGGGCCTGTGAGGTCCCATGGAGTGATGACTGGGAGGCTAGTGTCTGAGGACTGTCTGGAAGCCTCTTTGAGGGGAGCAGATGGAATGGGAGTGCAGCCAGTATATGTGGGGGGTGTGACATGATGGCACCCTCTCCACCGTCTTTCTTCCCATTTGAAATCCTTCAGAAATACAGCAACAATTCCTGGCGCTACCTCAGCAACCGGCTCCTGACCCCCAGTGACACACCGGAGTGGTTGTCCTTTGACGTCACTGGAGTTGTGCGGCAGTGGCTGAGCCACGGAGGTGAGGTTGGCTGCCCTACCTGTTCCTCAGTGGGACCAGCCTTGCTGTTTGTCCTGGGGTCACCCTGAATACCACCACCTACACCCGCTCAACGCTGAGGCTAAAGAGCCGAGCTTGGGCTCTTCCCCGATGATGCTTATACCTGAGTGATTCACTGATGAACCTGTGAATGAGTTAGTCCATTTCTTGAGCTCTTCTCTCTGCCCGGCCTGGGCTGGGTGACGCTGCGGACACAGCAGTGACTAAAACAACCTCGTCCTTGCCCTTGTGGGGCTCAGGGTTCCTTGGGTGGATCGAGCAGGAATGGCAGGGATGAGATGGGGAGACCACAGGAGGTGCCTGACCCAGCCTGGGCTCAGAGAGGGCTTCCTGTTGGGGAGATCAGAGAGCCACACAGGAGAAGAAGTTCGAGGCAGGAGTATTTTGTGCAAAGACCTTGAGGCCAGGGAGAGCCTGCCACTTTTGATCTGTCCAGGAGAGGACTGTGTCTGTCCTTCCTGCTTCTCATGGCCACGGTGCCTGAATCTCACCTCCTTCTCACCTTCTTGGTCCTGCACTCATTCAGTAAATGCCGAAAGGTTACTGCTTGTGCCCGGCCCTGTGCTGGGTGGTATGAGGGACACAGTGGTAACCAAGACCATCTTGGGTCCTGTCCTCACACAGCCCACAGTCCCTTTCGAATACCGAAGAGGTCTTGACAAGGCGCTACCAGGCAGTAACACCTCAGAATGATCAAGACCAGAATGGGGATGCAGGGGCAGAGGGATCGGCTGGGACGAGGGAATCCCAAGTGCTGGGTGATTGTGTTGAGACCCCCGGATGTGTAGTAGTTTGGCTGGATGAAAAGATGAGGGAGTCAGTAGATGCTAGGAGGGGTGTCCTGGGCCCTGGCACCAAGGCCTGGATCTTGTTTGTCTTGATCCATGCTGAGTCTCAAGTACCTAGCGAGGAATGTGGTGCACAGTAGAAGCTTAAACAACATCACTTATGTATTCATTCAGGAAACACATTACACCTGCAATGCAGAAAGTGCCCACGCTTAGATTTTCAGCCTGACCTTTCGGCACCTGTGTGACACTGGGGAAGTCACTCCCTCTCTGTGTGCCTCAGCTTCCTGGTCTGTCAAATGGGGAGTCTGAGGATTACCGGAGGTGATGCACACGGAATTCAGAGTGGACCCTGGCACCTGGTACTTTGTTTTGTGTGACTGTGGGCCAGGCCCAGCGAGGAACAACAGAAATAAGGAAGGATTCCTACCCCAGTGCTTCCTACTTTCTACTGAGAACAATAAATAGCCAAACACGGATGACAGAGAGGGTGTGTGCGTGCTCTGGAGAAAGCAAAGTGATACCATAGTGTGCGGGGGTGGGGGGTGGTGTACATTCTGGAGGGCCTCCCTGAGGAGGCGATATTTGGGCTGAGCCCTGAAGGAAGAGGAGGAGCCGGCAGCACGAAGAACTGCGGCAGGAGTGCTGCAGTGGAAGGGCAGAGCTGGCGAGCAGGAAGGAGCCTCTGGGGTTTGCTCCTTCCTGCCGCAGCCCTCAGGGGCTGGGTGAGCCATCCTCAGTCTGGCTTCCCTGTGTCCCCCCCCCCCCCCAGAGGAATTAGAGGGCTTTCGCTTCAGCGCTCACTGCTCCTGTGACAGCAAAGATAACACACTCCGCGTGGAAATCAACGGTGAGGCCAAATTCCCCGGCCAGGCCCCGTGGCCAGGAGTGATCTGTGTGCGCATGCATGTGTGCCACCATGTGCGTGCGTGCGTGCGTGCATGAGAGAGAGACAGAGAGAGAGAGATCCTGTTTGTTCCCTGCTCACTGACTTCTCCTTCTGAGAATGTGTATGTCCTCTACCCTGACTCCCAAACCCAAGCAGGGATTGGTCCCAAACGCCGGGGTGACCTGGCGGCCATTCATGGCATGAACCGGCCCTTCCTGCTTCTCATGGCCACCCCACTGGAGAGGGCCCAGCACCTGCACAGCTCCCGGCATCGCCGGGCCCTGGACACCAACTACTGCTTCAGGTGAGCTGCGCAGCCTTCGACTGAACACTTGCAGCCTGGGGACTTGACAGCTACCTGCCGACCAGGCACGTCGGGGTAGATGCAGTTGCGTGGCTGGTGCTGTGCCTGGGCTGAGCATCTCCTTTAGTCTGGAGGCCTTGAGAATAAGGTCCCAGAGTGCTGGGGTGTGGGCAGCGGGAGTCCTGCAATGTGGAGATCTGGTTGCTTGCTTGCTAGAGTGCTGGAGTCAGAGACTTAGAATGTTAGACACCGCGAGTTGGAATTCAGTGTTGGAAGACTGCCTTGTTGGGTTCTTACCTTGATGGCAGTTGGGGGTTCGAGAATGTTAGGGTTCCAGAGGGCTTTTGGGTGTTGTTTTGACACTGCTGGTAACTGAACCCAGGGCCTTGTGCATGTTAGGCAAGTACTTAGCATGGAGACAGGTGCCTCAGCCCTGTTGGGATTCTAGGATGTAAGAATTCAGAGAATCTCATCTGTAGTTGAGCAGCCATGTGCTTAGACATTATTTCCTGCCTTGTAAAGGGTTGGGGGAGTAGTGTTAAAGATTGAAATTGAGAGTGTAGGACTCAAGGAAAGCTAGAATGTTGGGATCCCAGTGTTTGGGGAGTCAGAACTGAAAGAGTGCTTACACTGGATTCCTACCCCATCAGCAGAATGCAGTCCTCAGTGCTGGCAGATGAGAGGCCTGAATACTGGACTCAGAACGGTGGAGTCCTATGTTAAAATATTAGTATGCACAGATGTTGGAGGTGGGGAAGGTGAGAACATTGGTATCCCAGATGACTGGACATCAGTGATGGAATGTTAGGATTTGGGAATGCTTGGGCCTTAGAAGTTGGCATGTTAGACTGAGTGATGGGCTCAGAACTGTGGAATGTTGGAATGCGCTACTGAAATATGGGAGTTCAAGAATGCCAAGACTGCTGCATGGTAGCCCCCACCTGTAACCCCAGAACCCCGTAGGCTGAGGCAGGAAGGTTGCTGTGAGTTCAAGGCTGACCTGAGCTACATAGTGTGACCCAGTTTAAAAAAAAAAAAAAAAAAAGAAAGAAAAAGACAAGATCCTCAGGAGTTGGAAGATAAGAATTCTAGAAAGTTGGAAATATTGTAATCCAAGCAAGTTTAGGTATTGGATTCCTGAAAAGTTGAAATTCAGCCAGAAGGTTGTAAAATTAGAATGATATTCTGACTTTGTCCCTCCCCTGCTTAAAATATCTCAGTGGTGTCTCTGGGCTTTGACTTATGCTGTTCTCCCACTGGACAGTCTATCCTGCTTCCTAGATCCTCACCATTCTCACCCTAGAAATCTCTGTGAACTCACAGATTGAAGTCTTGAGCACCAGCAGCTTTGAGAGAGAGGCAGCCTGCCGTGGGAGCCTTTTCAGGGAGGGACACGGCATCACCTTGGAAATCTTTCCTAAACATCAAACTTGCATCTGATCAGAACTTAAACTCCAAGTTCCCTGAAATAGTGGGACAGTGGAACATGGTCAGCCACACGACAGTGACACAGTCAGCAAAATTCAGAGGATGGGAAACCTGACCCAGTTTCTGCAACAAATACAGTGCAAAGAGAAGGGGAATACAGAGCTGGTTCTGTAGTTCTGCAGATTTTTAAAAGAATTCTGAGAGCCATATTAACCAATTTCAATATGTAGACTTTATTTGGATTTTTATTTACATAGGTTTAAAAAAAAAAAGATGTCAGGCAGGTATGTGTAGCCCCTGCTACTCTGAACCCCAGAAATTCAAGACCACTCGGAGCCATGTAGTGAGGTTCTGTCTCCAAAAATCAACCAAATAAAAAAGATGTTTATAAGACAGTTGGGAAATTGCAAACTCTGAGTAGATGAATAGATATTTGATGATAAGGAATCATTGTTAATTTTTTACATGTGGTAGTGGTGGTTATTATTATTATTATTGTTATTATTATTATTGGTACTGGGGATTGAATCCAGGTTACCTTTCCACCAAGCTACATCCCTACTCCTCTTTCTACTACTTTAAAAACTTTTTTTTTGGAAAGAAGGTCTTACTATGTAGTGCAGGCCAGCTTTGAACTTATTTATGTAGCCTAGATTGGTCTCAAACTCACAGCCATCCTCCCGCCTCATCCTCCTGGGTGCTGATTACAGGGGTGCACCACCACGCCTGGCAAAATAATTTTCTTTTTCTTTCGAGACAGGGTGTCACCAGGTTTCTCAGGCTGGGTTTGAATTTGCCATCTTCCTGCCTTTAGTCTCCCAGAGTGCTGGGATTACATGCATGCACCATCTCACCCTACTGAAATATTCAGTTTATAATGCAATACTCTCTGCTTCTGTGTGAAATGTTCTCTTATAAAAAGTTGTTTCTAGCCAAGTGTGGTGGTGCAGGCCTGTAATCCCAGCACTTGGGAGGCTGAGGCAGGAGGATAGCCCTGAGTTTGAGGCCAGCCTAAACTACATAGCAAGATCCTGTCTCAAAAAAAAAAAAAAAAAGTTAGTTTTACATCAGCTCAAATACCAGCTCCATTAGGAAGCTTCCCAGACCCCTATCTGCAGCACCCAAGGTAAATGTGAGGCCTGGGGCCTGGCTCCAGATGGAATCCTTTTACTGATTAGCTCTTGCTGGGCCTTGATAGACTGAACAGCAGAGATTTGCAAAAACAAGGCCATCCAAATCCCAGGCCTCACAAGTTGTAGGCCCTCGTCTGTCCAGAGGGCCTGCTTTGCACAGACTGCTGCCCCCTTGCCCCGTGGCTTCTGACTGCATGGGTCTGGGAATTTGCATTCCCCACCAGTTCCCAGATGCTGTTACTACGGGCAACCAGGGACCCCATATGGAGAACCACTACTGGGATGATAGTATCATAGGCCATTCAAATCCTGGGACCCAGAACCTCAGCCAGAGCTGGACTGGAAATCAGAGATAATCTGGACAATAATTCTTTCCTTTTTGTGAGTCAGACTCCTCCCCTCTGAACAGCTGAAGGCCAGGGCCCTTTCCCCCAGAAATATGTGCAGATGGTGAAGCTCTCGGGACTCTCCTGGAGGCATCCACTGACTTCCTGATGCTTCTTGGCCCTCAGATTAACAACACCTTATTTGATCCGAAATCCTTTTTGAACAGAGAAGAGAAACTGAACCCTAACCAAACTGGGGAGGGAGCAGACTGAGTTCGTAGGGACCCGGGTTTCCTAACTCCCTCTTCAGGATCCTGTGGCTCCTGGAAACGCCTTACCTTGCCCTGGGAATTCCTTGCCTTTACCACTTCCTCTTCTACTTGTTCGGCCACCCTGGGCGGACGATGCCTTAGGCTCAGGGGTCTTAGAGTTGCTTGTGAATCTGTCTCCAACAAATGAGACAAGTGTGAGTGAGCCACTTTCCCTTCCTCTGAGGCTAGGTTGCTTCATTCCTTCCTTGGGGAAAAAAAAATCTTCTTTTCTTTTTTGTCTTTTTGAGACAGGGTTTCCCTGTGCACTTCAGGCTGGCTTTGAGCTCAGGCTGGCCTCAAACTTGTGATCCTCCTGCCTCAGCCTCCTAAATGTTTAGGTGTGCACAGACCTATCCCAGAGAGGATACTTTGAGACTCTCCACTCTGACCCCAGCTCCTCTCGGGAGAGGCATCCACAGTGGTCCTGTATAGTCTCCTTCCAGAGACAGTCTCCACATGACACATTTATACATGGCCACATTTTTTTTTCCTTGTGGTACTGGAGATTGAACCCAGGGCCTTTGCAATGAGCTACATCTCCAGTCTCCCTCCTTTATTTTTTGTTGTAAGGTAGGGTCTCACCAAACTGCTAAATTACCTGAGGCTGGTCTCGAATTTGCAGTCCTCCTGACTCAGCCTCCCAGAGTGCTAAGGTTATAAGCGGCACGTGTCATAAACCTAACTTTATAGCGCTCTTGGCCTCCCACAATCAACCTTTTACTCACTGGGCTCCTTGCCCATTTTAGCCAGAACCCTCGGCTCTGGCATATAGCACCCTATCCTTCAGACAGGGAGAGGCTGGGCCTGGACTGGGGAGAACTGGCATCTGGATTTCAGCCCGGATCTGGAGTCAAGAGCGGTAGAGTCTTATATAGCACTGTTTTTCACTTGTTTTCTTTTATTTTATTTATTCAAGACTAGATCTCTGTGTTGCCCAGGCTACGCTCAAACTTGCAATCTTCTTGCCTTGGTCTCCTGAGAGGTAGAATTACAGTCATGTGCCACCAGGGTCAGCATATATTACATTTTTTAAAAAAGCAAGTTGAAAGCTTGGGGTGCAGTGGGCACACCTTAATGTAGACCCTGTCTCCAAAAAAAGGAATGTATTAGTTAACTTACGCATCCAACATTTGGTGAGTGCCTGTGTGCCAGCACTGGTGCGGGCTGCAGTCAGAACTTGCCATGGTTAGAGGAAGACAGATAATCTGTCTAATAAAATAACCAGTGGGCCTGTGAAGGAAAAGACATCAGAGGGAAGAAAGAAATGGATATTGGGAACTACTTATTTTTCCTATTTTGATTAAAGTTATTTTATTATGGATAATTTTATTTTATTTTTATTTTGTTTTTGTCTTTTTGAGATAGGGTCTCACCTTGAGCTCACTTTGTAGCCCAGGCTGGTCTCGAACTCGCAACGATCCTCCTCCCTCAGCCTCCCAAGTGCTGGGATTACAGGCGTGTGCCACCATGCCCGGCTATGGATAACTTTAAATGTAAACAAAAGCAGAAAAGATAATATAATAATCCTCTGTAAATTTTCATCCAGCTTCAAGAGTTATGAGGACTAAAAAAAAAAAAACAGTTATGAGGACTGTCTTCTACTTCAAATATGGACATTGTCATAGTTTTTTTTTGGTAATAACTCCAATGCCATGTTGCACTGAATGCAATTAACAATGATTTGGATTAATATTTTGGGTAGGAAGGGCCAGGAAGGTCTCTCTGAGGTGATGTTCATTTTGCAACTGATATTTATTGAGCACCTACTGTGTGCCAGGCACCCTTTCAGGAGTTAAGGGTCCCTGAGTGATGGACATTTTAGCACAGGCATGTGCCGCCAGGGTCAGCATAAATGAAGGAACAAACCAGAGTGGGGATCTATGGGAAGAGCAGGCACGCAGAGAAAGCAGCAGGTGCAAAGGCCCTGAGACATGACTGTGTTTGAGGAACAGACAGGAAGCCAGTGTGGCTGGAGTGAAGTAGGGTGGGTAACAGAGGGTACTGAGATCAGCTAGGTTCGGTAGCACCTTGTGGCTCTGGTGAGGACTTAGTCTTGGGCATTGGCTGAGTGTGACGAACCATGCTTGGGACAGGGGAGTGGTGTACTAAGTTGTAGCGCTGCAAAGCTGGGATTTCTTTCTGTTTTGTGTATGCTGTTTCCCCAGGAGTAGAGTCCCACCTGGTGCACCGTAGTAGTTCAGTAAGCATTGCACAAATAGAGCATGTCGGCACACCGGGAGCAGCATTTTATTTTTTAACGTTTCGTGTGTGGATGTGCCGTGAGGTTTTCTAGCCTTTTTCTGTCGGGTGACGTCGTTTGGCTTCTTACAGATTTGTTCTGAGCACTGTGTGAGATAAATGTGTTTTCTGATACTCTTAGCACAGTGTTTGAGAGACGACGTGCTTTAGAGGTGTTAGTAATTATCATTACTATTGCTGTATTCTTGTCATGGGGGTGCACAGGAGACGAGACGGAGGTGGGGGGCAGTCTTGGGTGACACACGCTGGGGAGGAGCAGCAGGGCTTCCCCTGCTGCTGACCTGACTCCTCCTGCTTGCAGCTCCACGGAGAAGAACTGCTGTGTGCGGCAGCTCTACATTGACTTCCGCAAGGACCTGGGATGGAAGTGGATCCACGAGCCCAAGGGCTACCACGCCAACTTCTGCCTGGGGCCCTGCCCCTACATTTGGAGCCTGGACACACAGTACAGCAAGGTGGGTCTGGCCCACGGGCTGCGGGGAGCTGGCACCAGAAGGTAGAATCAGAGATGTGTTGGCGGTAGGGTAGGGAGAAGAGACAGAGAGATGGAGGGGAGGATAAAGAGGCGAAGATGGGGAGAGACTGGCCAGGTGGGACACCGAGCCAGCCACCTGCCGAGGTCTTTGTGGAGGCTGCCTCGCCCCCGCCTCCGCGAGCCTCGGCTCGCCCCTGACCCGCCCCTGACCCGCTCCTGACCCATCTGGCCTTCCCTCAGGTCCTGGCCCTGTACAACCAGCACAACCCAGGCGCGTCGGCGGCGCCGTGCTGCGTGCCGCAGGCGCTGGAGCCGCTGCCCATCGTGTACTACGTGGGCCGCAAAGCCAAGGTGGAGCAGCTCTCCAACATGATCGTGCGCTCCTGCAAGTGCAGCTGAGGCCCCGCCCACTCCCGCCCCGCCCCGCCCCGCCCCGGCAGGTCCGGCCCCGCCCCCGTCGGGGGCTGTATTTAAGGACACCTGTGCCCCAAGCTCACCTGGGGGGCTGATTAAAGGTGAAAGAGGACTGCCTGTCTCTTTGTCATTGGGTGCCTGAGTCTCCCTCCTTGCCGTTGCTTCCCCTCTGCCTCTTCCTTGACAGCTTTCTCCGTCTGCCGCCTCCTCTCCGTCCCCGCTTAATTTGCCCAAATCACATAAACACTTACTGAGCACATGCTATGTTTGGAGGGCTTCCGGAGGTGCAGAGAGTAGTAAGTGGTGAGCCTCTTATTTACCCGGCAGTTTGAGCACTTTACAGTGCCTTGTATTAATGAATTAAATTATGGCAACACTGAGACACAGGGACTCTGATAACGCCCTTTTCGCAGAGATTGACATGGTAATCCGGAGAGATGAAGGAAGTAGTTCCAGGAACTACTGGGCACTGACTTTCTGAGCTGGGGAGGCAGACAGCAAGAACTAATGGTGCGGTGGACAGTGATCTGCAGACCGGGAGCCCGGAGGAGTGAGAAGAGAGGCTGTGGGAGGATGGCGGGCATCTAGGAGGAAGTGTCCTGGAAGAGTTGAAGGAAGCCGAGAAGGCAGCCCAAAGGGAGAACTGGGGTGGGGTGGGGGGCCGTGCTCCCGGTAGGAGGAGGAAGGAAGCGAAAATCGGAAGTGGTGACCAACTTGGAGGGTAGTACAGTGAGGAAGAGGCGGGCGGAGTTGGAAGAGTGAGCAAAGGAAGGGTGTTGGGAGCTGAGTCAGTCGTAACACTCCCAGGCCAGAGAGTAATAACAATTGTGCATGCCAGGTGTGTCTTCTCCCCTGCTCACTGCGTTCCCCTTGCAGCCCAGCAAAGCAGGAATTGGCAAGCTGCCACCCGCTGCCCTTTCTTTGTAAATAAAGTGAAAGGCGGCCTCACTCCCTCATCTACATATTGTTTATGGCTGTGCTACTGCCTGGGGAGCAGAGGTGAGACAGTAGGCAGAGTCAAGACTTACTGTCTGGTCTTTTATAGAAAAAGCTCCCTGACCCCTCCTGTACTTTACAGGGAGGAATCTGAGGCAGAGAGGTCAGATTAGGTGTGAAGTTCAGACAGCTAGTAAGTGGCAGAGCTGGGATTCGCATCCAGCTAGCTTGAGTAGAGGGTCCATAGTGTACTTCTAAGTCCTATGCCAGGACTTGTCCTCTGAGGAAGATGGGAGCCACAGCAGGGTTGTGAACAGGGGAGGGCGTGAGGTGACCTAGAAGCTCTCCAGGAGGTGCAGAGGGTGTCATCACCCTCTGGCTGATGACAGAGCAGACAGTGAGGGTCAGAGTGGCCCCAGGGAGGCAGTTGTCCAGGTGAGAAACGACAATGGCCTGGGCCAGGGTCAGTTCCCCCGGCTGTCTGGTCTCTTCTCATCTGCTGTAGTCACGCCTGTGAATTCCCTCCTGCTTCCGCTTTCTCTGGCCTCTCATTTCCTCTCTCCTCTGGGCTTTCAACTTCCCACTTCTCTCCCTGCTGTTCTCAGGCCCAGGGGCCTTTGGCTGGCTCCTCTGCCTGGGACTGTCCTGGGAAGAAGGACAGTGTGAGTGTAGAGCTTCCTTTGCCTGTGGGCTGAGCACAGCTGGTAGAGGGGTGAGTGGGCCCTGGGCCCTTCCAGCCTTTCCCTAGCTCAACCACAAAGGGTTGAGCTGGGGTGGGCTAGCAGAGGAGCTCACTTTGCAAGGACATGGCATAACTGTCACCAGGCTTATGTGTGTACACTGCTGTGAGGCCCGGCACCAAGGGGCAGAGACACAAACCGGGACACAGTGTCATGGACTGTAGTCACTGCAGCCCCATGAGGATGTGCGACATGGATGCAGCATGTGGCCAAGCATGCGCATGTGCAGGTACAGGCTCTGCAGAGGTTAATACACGGATGGTGTCCCACAGCCACATAAACACACTGACCTCTCAGAGCTCAGATAGACACGCAGGCTCCCTGCAGGACCCAGGATACATGGACCGTGATACCTGGCAGGAGTCAGTCCACACATACACAAAGTCAGAGTGTCACCTCACCCAGCACGAAATCAGCCTGGCTGTGGGGCTTCAGACTTCAAAAGCAAAACTGTCACACAAATATATTCCATAGGTCATGGTCACCACATACCAGACATGGATTCAGACAGTGTCACACACAGACATGTCACAGCATTAGAACCCCCTGAGGAAACAGATCCCACACACACACCGTTACACAAACATCCTCCATGGGGTCATGGTCATCGTGTGACGCGTCACAGTCCTGACCAAACACGGAGGTTTGACACATTGCAATTACAGGCTGCCAGCGGGTCATACCCACTGTCTGACATCTCACTCCCACCACCACTTTCAGCCTCGGGAGTCCCACAGAGCTCTGACCCAGGGTCCCAGACAGACACACCCCCCCAGGATCACTGTGGCCCTGAGGCTGGGCGAGGCCCCAGGACAAGTGCTGACTGGACCGCAGGGCCGACTTGCTTCAAGTGACACAGCCCGCCCACCTGCTAGGGCTCCCAGCCCGCTGAGCTGGCAGCTGTGCCTCGGGGAAATGTAAAGTGTGCGCTGTGTTGCGGACCCGTCCTGCCACCCTGGCACCTGGGGCGCTGAGTGGCCTGGCCCAGTCAGGACACGTCTGCCCCACCCTCACGGTCCACAGGGGCAGGGCCAGGGGTTGGGGTGCCCAGCTCCTTCTGAGGCCCCGCCCCTCCCTGCAGGCAGCCTGAGCCTTGGGGGAAGTCGTGGGGGGAGCCTGGGTTCCGGCTGGAGTGCGGGCTTCCCGTCCAGCCCCCACGGCAGGAAGTGGACAGGAGGCCAGCGCAGGCCTTCCAGCCCCCTCCTGGACAGACCTGAGACGGGGTTGACCTGAGAAGGGGGAGGGGATGGGAAGCACAAGAAAATCCCCTTCTCCCTACATCTGTGGGTACCCGAGTACGGGTGTTTCTAGTGTGAATATTGGTGTTTAGCATGTGTGTGTGTGTGTGTGTTTGCAGCTTTGCGGGTAATTGTCTCTAGCATGGGGGTTGGGCCCTAACGCAGCAGCCCAGTGTGGATGGCATTGTCAACGGGGCTGTGCCCCAGCACGTGTTTAGCTCTGTGGCTTGCTGCATTTCTGGTGAGCGCTTCTGCAGTGTTGTGTTTTTGCTAGATAGGCTGGGGCACTTTCTGTGGGTTCTGGCACTGACTGGTGAGTCTGTATGTACCAGTGGGCTACATATCCATGAAGCAAGAGTGTCTAAATTTCTCTCAACACCTTCAGTTACCTCTTGGTGTACATTTGGGCTTTCTTAGTGTACGTCTAATTTGAAATGTGTTTTCTGCACGTTTATGGGTGTGTGAGAAAGATGTTTTCCAGGAGATTGTGTATTTTCTTACATATGTGCCGTTTTTGGTGCACATGTGCGATAGTTGTTCGGGTTTGTGTGTCTGTGGGTAGGTTGTTTCCTGGTTATTTTTGGGGTGGTGGTGGTGCTGCTGGGATTGAACCAGGGCCTCACCCAGGCTAGGCAAGCACTGCGCCACTAAGCTGCACCCTAAGCCCTGGGTTTCGTTTTGTGATCAGTGCTTGCACTGCTGGTATGCTGAGCACTTTTGTTTCCAGATGATGTGTCTCTGTGCTGTCTTACCAGTGTGCTTGCTGTGGCTCTCCCAGCATGTGTACGACAGGCTGTACTTCTAGGTGTGGCCTGTGTCTGTGTGTGTCCATGGGACTGGTGTTCTCATCCCATGTGGGTGTCTTCCAGCAGGAGTCTCACTGGTGTCCCCACCTGCAGCCTGGTGACTTCAGTGTGTAAAGAACTACGTTGCTCTTTGAGGGCACTGGAGGTACGTATGGGGCTGCGTTGTGTGCTGGCATCTTCAGGGAAGGGGAACCTCATGTGTCTTCTGTGTTAAGTGAGTAGAGGCTGTGTCTGCGGCATCCCTTGCTGCCTGGTGCCACGCTGGCTTGGGGTTGGCTGTGGCAGCGGGCAGGGCAGGGGCTGTGGTGGGCACTGGCCCTGCGCCCGGCCTCGGTATAAATATCCCCAGGCTGCCAGTGGCTGTGTTTACTCGGCCCCAGGCTGGGGGCGGCAGCAGCCCAGCAGGTCCCGGGGGCGGGGGTGACCAGGCCACAGCACAGACATTTCCTTCTGGCCAGACAGGCCCAGTCTTGTTGTCCCCTCCCTGGTGGGGGCGAGGCGATGACCCCTCATTCTGGGCTCCCAGGGGCCACCGGTGGAGCTCTGAGCTGGATGTCCCAGAAGGGCTTCCCCCAGTCTGGGAGACAGACTGGGATGGCAGCATTGAGGGCAGGAAAAAATGAGGGCTAAGGCAAGGGGAGGAGGGAGAGCTGGATGGGGAACAGGTTTACTAAGACAGTGCCCGAACTGGGGTGAGAAGTGACAAGGGAGAGAAGAGTGAGAGGAGGGCGAGCAGGCAGAGGCACGGGGAAATGAGGCAGGAGAGGGCTCAGGAGCTCAGGAGCCGGCAGATGGAGTCCCGACAGCCAGAGGAGGAGAAGAGAGCAGCAGGAGGACAGGGCACCGAGGCAGGGGATCAAAAGGAAGTGAGGAGAAGCAAAAGACAGTGAGGGACTGGGAGAGACCTCAGCAGAGAAAGGAGCTGAGGGAGGAGGTAGTTCCAGCTCTGGCAGGATGCACAGAGGTGTGGGACAAGGGGGTGGGGTGGCAGCCAGCAGCACGCTGCCAGGGCCACAACACACAGGAGACACGGGAGGTGGGGGCCGGATGCCCACGCAGGGGCTCTTTCTCAGCTGGGCCTTCCCTCCCTGATTCAGCCTCTCCACCCACCCCAGCCCCAGAACTGTGGGGGCTGCTCCGAGACTGCACCCAGGGGGTGTGTCTCTCAGAGTCCCTGCCTGCTGTCTGTCTCCACCTCTCTTCCTGTCTCCTCATCTAATCCCTGTCCCTGTGGCGGGCTCCACCTCTGTCTCAGCTACAGACACTGCGTCTCGACCATCTGACTAACCCCGATTCTGACTCAGTTGCTAGGCCTCTCATCTTTTTTAAAAAGTTACATAACCAAATTTATGTATGGCAAAGTATATCATAAACAAATTTAATGACTGACTCAAAGACCGGTCAAAAGTGCACATCACCAGTAACTGACAGGACACAAGCATGAGTACCTGAGGCCAATGTCCTCAGTCCTGGAGATCCTGCCTGGACTGTCTTCAGCCTCATGGCTGTGGCCTGCTTTGGAACATGGAGTCAGTAGTACTGAGTGCACCCCTTCCCAGGATAGAGCGGCGGCAATTCAGACTCAGCAACTGAGCACCGACTTACAGGAGATGGCGTGGTCTCACCAGGCAGGGCAGGGTCTGGCAGTATGCTAGCATCCTCCTAAACACCCGCCTCCTCTTAGATCCTACCGTCTGTGTCCCTCCACCTTTGTCCAGCTCAGGGTGGCCTCACATCTGACACTCTGGCTCACAGAGAGGTTTCTAGCACTTGGCTCCCATCCCAGCTCGGCCTCTGAGGCCAAGGGGCCTTGGGAAGCACATCTCTGTCAGGGCCTCCTGCGGCACTGTGAAACAGAGTTGACGGCCTCCAGTTCAAGAGCTGTTTAGAGGCTGCCTCGTGGTGTCAGGCGTCTCTCAGGCCTCGCACAGGATGGAACTGCTCTGCAGCTGAAGCTTTCACTAGGTAATAATCCCTCCAGCTGCACATCCCTCTGTCTCCTTCCAGCTTTCACTTGCCTGTCTGGTTTTCATTCCAGTTGACTGAGGGGCAGAGTCCAGGCCTGGGTTCAGGCGGTGCTTTCGAATGTCCTTTGGACATGGACAGGGCACGATGCCGCTGTCTGTCTCATAGGACTGAGGGGTTCAGGGCTCAGGCTTTCCAACCCCTGCCCTGCCCTCCCCTCCCCACAGCAGCCAGTCTCTTCTCTGTGTCTGCTGGGGGAGCAGGGCCCGGGCACGGGGCATGGGAAGGTGGGACGCCTGGGTTCCCACAGGCCGTGGCTGAGTCACAGGCAGCCATCTGGCTCCCATTAGCCTGGGGCGGCAGGGGGCTCAGTGGGGCGGGCCCTGCGGCTGGCTGGGGCAGGGATGCCGGGGCAGCCTGTGTGTGGGATGAGTCAGGACCCATGATAACAGCCTGCGCACATTTGGGGAGTGTAAACAGGAGAGGGAGAGGGAAGCAGGCAGAGGATGTGAAGAAGGGAAAACTGTCTGGGCAGGGGGGCTGGTGGAGGAGAGCCCGCCTTCTCTGCCCTTCCCCACACCCAAGCTGGCAGGCCCCGTGAGCCCCAGTCATGCTTCCACCCAGCCCTCCTGGGTACCCTGCTTGCAGTGAGGCTGCGTTATTCAGCGGTCAGGGATCTGCTGCCCACAGCAGCCGAGCCTGGGGAGGGAGACTGGAACACAGAGATAAAGCTGAGGCAGAGGGGGACAGAGACAGCTGGAGAGGAATGGAAATGTACAGGCAGAGAGAGTGGGGCAGAGGTGAGAGGGGAACACAGCACAGGAGGCTGGTGCGGCACGCCGGGCAGGGGCACAGACACAGGCAGAGGTGGAGAAAGACCGAGGTAGCCTGGAGCAAGGGGAGAGCTGTGCTGGGTCCCAGCTGCGGCCACCCTGAAATCAACTGCCCAGTTCCGCTGTCACAGACCCGCCGGCTGGCCTTGGTCAAGGGGATTTTCATCCTGGACTGGACCTGCTGTGGGGACGAAGGGGAGGCAGCAGGAGAGGGACAGAGGGAGAATGAAAAAAACAAGCAGGTGACAGAGAGAATGAGGGAAAGCGAAGGAAGGGGAGGAGGCCTTGTGAACAGGTGGTGTTGTCCGAGAGACCAGACCCAGGGAGGCTAGTGGGACCTGGGTGCATGTGTGCGTGTGCGGTGCCCTGCTACCCCGCAGAGAAGAGTCACTGAGCCGGCCTGTAATCAGCTGCTTGTTGGGGTGGGGTCGGGGTGGCTGGCTACAGGGGCGGCAGCCATCAGTCCCCATCCAGCTCTGGGCTGGGTGCGTCCTCCGGTTCCTCTTCGTCGAAGTACCTCTCTTCTTCATCCCGTGCCACGATGTCCAGGTTGTCGAAGTCGGGATTGTCGTCCACTGTGCTGCAGGGGGAGGAGGCTGTTAGGGGCCCTGGGAGGCCCAGGTGAAGGGCTGGGGGATCCCCAAGGTCAAAGGCCATATGGTGGCAGCTGCCAGTCACAGCTGACCCTCAGAGGTGACACTAGGCCTTTCAGGACTTAGTAACAGAAGGAAGCATTTTCCAAGTAGAGATCTTATATAAAGACCCTGGTTTCTTTCTTCTTCTTTTTTTTTTTTTGGCCTTTTTGAGACAGGGTCTCCCTATGCAGTTCAGGCTGGTCTTGAGCTCACTGTGTAGCCCAGGCTGGCCTCAAACTCGAGGCAATCCGCCTGTCTCACCACGCCTGGCTCCTGGTTTCTCTTAAAAGCTGGTGTGAGAGGGGGCCTAAGTTTCTTGGGCAAACACTGGAGTTCTGTCCCTAAGGGCATGCTGACATTTTGATGGTCCCCAGCTGTGATGCTGCCTCACAGGACAGACTCCCAAACAAAGAATTACCTCGCCAGAGGGTAGAAGAGGCCCAGGTAAGAAGCCCTGCGGGACCTGAGGCCTCCTGCTCACCACTGCTCCACGGAATGTGCCGAGTCCAGGCATTTAGGCCTCCTCCCTTCCTGTCCTGCACGTTAGTGCTCAGATGTCACCTCCTCAGGGCTTCCCTGATCACTGGGTACCCCCCTTTGTTTTTCACGGCCCCGTCACCACTGGACACCGCCTCAGTCTTCATCCTCGTCTTTGGCGTGGGTGTGAGTGCCTTCTGAGCAGCAGCAGGATTTGTCCCCTGCTTTGACCCCAGAGCCTGGACACAGCACACACCTGTAACCCCAGCACTAGGGAGGCTGAGGCAGGAGGATCACCATGAGTTCAAGCCCAGCCTGAGCTACATAATGAGAGCTTGTCTCAAAAATGCAAAGCAAAACCAAAAAAAGTAGTGCAGACCCATCCTTGTCCTCTCAGCCTCCCAGACATGTCCCTCAGCTGGTCACTGACTCAACATGAGCTGAGCGTCTGCTGTGTCCAGGCCAGTGGTCACGGAAGTCTCTCTGAGGAGGTGACACCTGAGCACCCGACCTGCAGGACAGGAAGGGAAGAGGCCTAAATGCCTGGACGCAGCGCATTCCATGGAGCAGTGGTGAGCAGGAGGCCTCAGGTCCAGCAGGGCTTCTTACCTGGGCCCCTTCTCCCACTGGTAAGGGTCTGTAGCGCTCTGACTGTCTCTGTGGCACCTGGTTTGGGAGTGGCAGTGGTGCAGCTTCACTGAAGTGCCCCACAGCCTGACTGCTGTTCGCCACATTGTGTGTGAGAACCCAGGGTCTACGAGGCTCCCTTCTGGCAGGGGTGGATCTCCCACATTCAGTACTATAGCTGCGGGATCCAACAGCGGGCCAGCGATGCCCTTCACGGGTGCTGACTCTAGGCTGGCCCTGTAACAATAGTAAGAACAGTCCCCATCTTAGCAAGGGCCTGTTTGTAGCCACACAGTTTATGTGTCACTAGGCTGGATTTGAAAGCAGGGAGTGGCCTCTACTACCAGGCCCCATGTTTGGGACCAGAAGACAAGACTGACTCAGAAGACAAAACCATTTATGTTTGACTTTCACACTGCACTGTCAGTGTCCTTGTCCTGAAGGCAAAATCCTTTTCCAAAGCAGGTAGCCCATGTACCCCTGCCCCAGGTTATTCTAGAAACACCAATGACTTTCCCTTTGAGCAGGGAGGGGCACGGTGGTGGCAAGCACCCACTACAGGCTCCTCTTCGCTGGACGGCAACCCTGCCAGAGACTAATTCCTGCAGCGTGAGGTGGTCTGGGGTCCTGGGAAAGAGGTTGGGTTTCCTGGCTACACATGAAGGCTTGGGGTAGCAGCATCCTACCAAGTCACTGCCACTGGCACAACCGAAATGTTTCAGTGTTTTATCAATAAAGGTAAATGTCAGCCTAGCTCATTTCCTTCCTTACAGGTGAGGCGATGGAGGCTCAGATGGACTGAGGCTTAGATGGACAAGGTTAGTCCAAGATCATCACTCAGCCTTCTTCGATTGATTACAAACTCCAGGCTCTCTGCCCCTGGGCCCATCTCCTGGAACTGTTGCAGGGCTGTCTAGGCCCTATCTAGACATGGACAGGATACCCATGGGATCTGCACATGGCCCAGGGCTGGGGGAAGAGGAGACAGAGCGCAGTGGCACCTGTAGTCAAAGTCCCCATCCTTGCCGTCTAGGAAGCGCTGGTGCATCCGGCTGGTGAACTCCTCCCGAAGGATCAGCCTCTCCTCTGAGTCAGGCACCCAGACCTCTGAGTCTTTGCCTGACCTCTGGTCTGTGGAGGGAGACACCAAGGAAGGGTGGTTTGAACGTGAGCTCAGAGAGCTGCTTTTGTAGCTCAGTGGTAGGGCACTTGCCTATCACATGCAAGGCCCTGGGTTTGATCCCCAGTACAGCAACAAACAAAGAAACAAAAGCCCTCAAACCCCAGAAAACTACTGCTTCCATGACCTCATGCCATGTGGCAGAGGGAACACAGCAGTGACTGTGACAGCCCAGGTCCCTGTCCTCCAGGGGTGCCCGCCAAACACCTAAGGACGAGGCAGAATTCTGAAGATTGTATGCCAGGGACAGGACTGAGAAACGAAGGCTGAGGAAAGCAGCATTCATTTCTGCAGAAGGAATGAAGCTCAGGCCAGGCCTTGGAGGAGTGCAGGGCAGGGATGCTGGAGATGGGAGGGGCTCGCAGGATGGAGGGTCAGGGCAGGTAGGCTGGGGCCTGGCCGGGTGCCATGGAATGCAGTTGGGGCGTCCAGACTCTGGGGCCTCCGTGCTGCTGGTTCTCACCTTCCTCGTCACTGTCCTCCTCCTCTTCCTCCTCCTCCAAGCAGGCCTCTTCCTCCTCCTGCTGCTGGAGCAGCCGCTGCTGTAGCTCCCGCTCTTCGTAGGACTGGAGCAGCAGGTCGGAGAGCGGGCAGGTGGGTTTGCTGGGGGATCCAGGTCTAGGGGGCTGAGGGACCGGTGTGCGGGTGCTCAGCTCCTCCTGGGTGAGGTACTGCCCGATATACTGCTCATACAGCAGGGGGGCCCGGAACCGCATCTGCTCATCGCTGAAGTATTCACCCCCTGCAGAGGAGAGCTAGGTGGGCATGCCTGGGTGGACACGTCCTTGCATGTGTGCGTGTGTGTATATGTGCTCATACGCGTGCATTCAGATACGGAGGGAAATATATGCAGGCACCTGAGGGCATGTGGGCATGAGTACTCACACCTGCGCTGATCATGTGCACGTGACCAGGTCTGCATCTGCCCGTGTATTCGTGTGTCCAAGTATGTGTGTGCACAGGCAGAACCTGCAAGCCTCTGGCCATGGTGTGTGTGCACAGTTGCACATATAAATGCACGTTTCAGCAAAAAACAAAACAAAACAAAACAAAACAAAAAAAAGAGGCTGGGAATACAGCTCAGTGGCATAAACGCCTGTCTGGCAAGCGCAAGTTCCTGAGTTCAATCCCTGGTACTGCAAAAAAACAAAAAACAAAAAAAACCCAAAAAGCAAAACAAACACACGTTTTTCTGTGTCTCAGCACACCGCCTATAGGTACCTGTGTGTCTGGGGGTTGGCATGTGGGACAACACACATGCTCCACGTGTAAGTAGGTTGTGTGTGCCTGTTTGTGGAGCTTGTTTGGCTGTCAGTGTACATGCCTGGACAGGCCTGCACTATTGGACATATATGTGCATCCATCCACATGTACCTGACATATGTGTGCACACACTAAGGTCAGGTGAGGCATCTGCCTGCGTGCATGTGCCTGATGGCAGCAGGGCCATCTAATGTGTGTGTGGACATGTGCACCGGAGATGGCAGACCTCAGCTGTGACCTTTCCCCAGTGCTCTCTGCAGCCTGCCTCAGCTTGGGCCGGTGTCGCCATCCGGGTCCTTCTCTCCTGGCTGCCTGTTCTTGCAGGAGCAGCTCTGTTCCCTGTGGCTCCTCACACACCAGGGGCCCAGCCTGCCTTCAGAGCCCAGGCCCACAGTCCTGCCAGAACCCTGCCTCTACGGCACTGTGGTCTGTGACTCTCCCTGGCCTGTTTGGCCTCCCCAGTCCTGCCATCACCTTATCCCATCTCTGAATCTTCTACCAGGTTCTGTTTCTACCCTGCCTCCTGGCTCAGGCAGGTTGGGGCCTGGCTTGGTGCCACGGAACAAAGTGGGGATGCCCTGGAATGGAATGCAGTGACAACCCTCTCCTCCTTCATCCCCATTTCCCTGCCTGTCTCTGCCATCTGTTTCCCCTGCTTGCTCAGTTGCTGTCAGCTTACGCCACCAGTCATTCAGTAATCACTGCCTTTCTGCATTCTTGTTCCTCTACCTGTCCCTGTGTCTTGCTCTTTCTGCATTAATCTCTCTAAGCTCATACCTGGCTCTGAGCTGTCTTAACTCATTTTCTGCTTCATTCACTCTCATCTTTTAACTTTGGTTCTGGTGATTTTAGTCATATGATGTTTTTAATTATGTCTAGGTCAAAAAAGTATCTATACGTTTTTCTTCATGAAGGCCTCTGTCTACCCAAGGCAGCAGACATATTTCACTTGTTTTTCCTGGGTGCCTTTGTGTGTACTATGGGGCCAGCACCTTGTGTTCCACTGGCACAATGAATTATCACAATGTTGTGTTCAATGTTTTTAGTCCACTTCTAAGGGGGCTGCTTCTGTCTGCTACTAAATTCTGACCTCTCCCTACTGTGCGCCCCTTCTCTTTTCCAGATCTCATCTGTACCCACCTCTCTTTCTACCTTACTTCACATTTCTGTCTATTTGCCTCAAAACTTTTCTCACAGCTGGGCATGGTGGTACAGGCCTGTAATACCAGGACTCTGGGAGGCTGAGGCAGAAGGATTGCAAGTTCGAGCCAAACCAATTTAGCAAGACCTTGTCTCTTCAATTTCAAGTATTGCCAAAAAAAAAAAACCAAAAAACCAAAAAAACAGAAAATAACTTTTCTCACAGGTTCTGTTTCTGCTCTTGTATCCTTGTTTCTCAGACCCTCTGCCTCTGCCCTCCTCACCCCTCAACTTCCCATCTCTGCCTGTCTCCCTTCCTCTCCATCTTTGCCTCCTCACACCCACAAGCCCCTCACACCTTGGATGAGCTCACGCAGGGCAGCATAGCGCCGATTTCGTAGGCGGGTGCGTAGGGCGCGTGGCCGGGCAGCGCCCTGCCGAGCCACCTCAGCACAGTAGAAGTCGGCACGATGGTCACCACGTAGGTGGCCAAAGCAGGCCAGGTGCTCCTCGCGGAGGCCTGTGCGGAAGCGCTCCAGGAACACCAGCGGCTTCTCGTGGTACAGCTGGCTCAGGATGGCCACCTTCTCTTGCTCCGTCAGGTCAGGCTCGCCTTGCTGCTGGCTGCACACAGGCAGGCGGCTGGCCGCCACAGCATGCAGCATGGCACTGACTGCTGCGCTCTCAGTTGTGGGATCGTCACTGTCCAGGGCCCCTGCTGTGCTTTCCGCTGCTTTCACTTGTTCCTGGGGTTCAGATGGAACTGGTGGTATCTGGCTCAGCTCCCCCCAGTGCCTAGTTCTGGGCTCCATGCAGCCTGCAAGAGCGGAGATTAATTAGCTGAGGGATGGGTGTGCAGGAAAGCGAAGGAATTGGTAGGCAGGGGCTGGGCGCTTACTCAGTTCACACTTACTGATCACCTACTATATTCTGGGCTCTGTTCTAGGTCCCAGAGAGACCATAGTAAACAAAAGAATAACATTTTAGTGGGGACTCAGCCAACAACATAATTACTGAAAATGTATACGGAAGGTATGTTACATTACTGAAAAAACATGTAAGGTGTCTCCCTGGCTATGCAAAACAATAGAGAAAGAGGAAGGGAGCTGGGGATTTAGCTCAGTGGCACAGCGCCTGCCTGGCAAGCGCAAGGCTGTGAGTTCGATTCCTGGTACCGGAAAAAAAACCAACCAAACAAACAAAAAACAAAACAACAACAACAAAACAAAACAAAACTGGGGCTGGGGATTTAGCTCAGCGGCAAAGCGCCTGCCTGGCAAGCGCAAGGTCGTGAGTTCGGTTCCCGGTACCGGAGAAAAACCAAAAAAAAAAAAAAAAAAAACAAAACAAAACAAAACAAACAAGAGAAAGAGGAGGGAATGAGGGATGGCTTCAATTTTAAATGAAAAGTCAGAGAAGGCTCTGCCAAAAAGTGACATCTCAGTAGAGGTCTGAGGTGGGAAGGGATGGAGACTTCTCAAATAAGAGAGCTCCAGGCAGAGGGAACCGCCAGTGCAAAGACTCCAAAGCCTGACTTACTGATTTATCCAATTCTTTGCCTTTTCATTTGCTCACACACTTAGGAATATATTCATTAGTTTGTTCACTCATTCATTCATTATTCTCTCTTACCACTCACACATTTACTCAACCACTCTTCAACTTTAAATCTATGCAAGGCCCTGAGCCAGGCAATTCAGAGGGCTCGCAGCAGGAATCCAACCTGAGTCTTGCCCTCAAGAAGCACTCAGTTTGATGTGAGAAACAGTCAAGATCAAAGATTACCCAGCACTTGGGAGTTCAAGACCAGCCTGGGCTACAAAGTGAGCTCAAGGCCAGCCTAAACTGTATGGTGAGACCCTGTCTCAAAAAGACCAAAGATCATATAGGCAGAGATAAAAGGAAATGTGGGTGTTAGGCAAACCTTGGTGAGAGCTGTTTTCCAAGTATGGTGGGAACTGCAGCAAGCAGGAAATAAGTGAAGGCAGAGCACAGAGACAACTACTTCAGGGAGGAGAGAGGGGCATGACGGCTGCCCATGTCATGATTTCAATCACTGAGATGAGAGAAGACTGAACTGGGGCAGGGGCTGTGGAGGAGAGGCAGGGTGGCTGAAGAGGACAAATTAAGAAAAGGCACATGAAACTGAGGGGGCAAATCATGGGGCGGAAGGTGGAGAGGCGAGGGAGGCATCCAGGATGAGGTCCAGGACTCTGGCTTGGGGGATGACCAAACTGTTCCTGAGATAGTGCAAAAATGCAGAGGTTGGTTTTGGACATGGAAGGTTATGAGGGAGCCGGGGGACATTCAAGGGGAGGCATCTGAGAGACTGCTAGGACACAGGCCTACAGACTGCTCAGGAGAGAGGCAGAGTTGTGTCATCAGAGCCAAGGCAAGAACTAAAGCAGAGGGAAGTGAGAGGTGGGTGTGGGGGAAGGGAGGGAGGTAAGGGAGGAGAGAAGAAGGGCTAGGAAAAAGCACTGAACAGATGGGGGAGGACACGCCTGTGAAGGTCACATCTCAATGCCTGGAACCTGTGACAGTTACTATAAATGGGGGCAGGGGAAAGACTCCACAGATGTAATAAGGCTGTTAAAATGGGAGAGATTATCCTGAATAATCCAGGTGTGGGGGCTGGGGATTTAGCTCAGGGGCAAAGCGCCTGCCTGGCAAGCGCAAGGTCGTGAGTTCGGTTCCCAGTACAGGAGAAAAACAAAACAAAAAACAAAAAACAAACAAACAAACAAACAAAAATCCAGGTGTGCCTCAGATGTAACACAAGCGCTCTTTGTTTGCGGGGGGTGGGTACTCGGAATCTAACTCAGGACCTCGCACTTGCCAGGCAGGCGCTGTGCCGCTGAGCTGTATCCCTGGCCCTTGTTTGTCTTTTTTGACACAAGGTTTCACTATGCAGTTCAGGCTGGCCTTGAACTCACAGCGATCCTCCTGCCTCAGCCTCTGAATGCTGGGATTACAGGCGTGCGACACCACACTCAGCTACACAAGTGTTCTATAAGAGAGGTTGAGAAGAGGGGCACAGTGGCATATGCCTGGGATCCCAGCTACTTGGCTGGCTGGAGCTGGAGGACTGCAAGCTTCTTTCTTTCTTTCTTTCTTTCTTTTTTTTTTTTGTGATAGCACTGGGGATTGGACTTAGGGTTTTCACCTGAACTATACCCCGAGTCCCATTCATTCATTCATTCATTCATTTATTCTAAGTTATCTAGTCTGGCCTCAACAGTGTGACCCTAAGGAGGATTCCATTCATTCAGAGTTATCAAGTCTGGCCTTAACAATGTGATCCTAAGAAGGACTCCAAGTTAGAACCTGGCCTGGCTAACATGGTAAGACCTTGTGTAAATAACCAAAAAAGGCTGAGGAAGAGCTGACACACAGAGAACAGAAAGCAGTATGAAGACAGAGGAGAGACTGGCATGAGGCCGTGAGCCAGGGGTTCCAGAAGCCATCACTGGCTGGCAGAGGCAAGGAACAGGGGAGAGCTGTGCAGGACCTAGGCTTGGGGATACACTAGTATCACTCCAGTGCTACTGATTTCAGACTTCTGGCCACCCTGTTTATGTTTAAGTCCACCCAGTTTATGATAATTTATTACAGTAGCCCCAAGAAACAAATGCAGATCAGAGAATGGTGTCACAAAACCAAGGGAAAAATGTACAAGGATGGAGGGGTCAATGACATTGAGTTTTCCGAGTAATCTAGCAAGAAGAAAACTGGATGGAGTGACTGTGTTTAACTGCCAGTGGGGATAAGTCAGTGGGGACTCTAACCACAGCAATTCTGAAGGAAAAAACTAGACTGCAGTGGGTGGGAGGTAAGCAAATAAAAACAAACTAACGCGACTCTTTGGAGAAGACAGATGGTGTCTGGAAGTCAGCACAGGGCCAAGGGACAAGTTTTCTTTTGTTCAGAAAATAAAATTTAGGTTGGGAGCCTAACTCAGTGGTTGAGCACATGCTTAGCATGTGTGGGGCCCTGGGTTCCATCCCGAGCAGTGAGAAGTAAAAAAAAAAAAAAAAAATACCAATAAAACTTTATTATGAAAAACTGAAAGACACTAAAGTAGGGTAGGCTGACACCCGCCCCCCCCATGCATATACCCAGCAACCCCTTTCAACAATTACCAGTTCTTAGCTAGCAGTGCTGTTGTTTTTGTGGTACTAGGGATTGAACCCAGGGCCTCTGAGTGCAGTAACATACCCAGCCCTTTTTCATTTTTAAAAAATTTTGACACCGTCGTGCTAAATCTCTTCAGTTGCTCCGGCTAAGCTCAAATTCGTGATCCTTCTGCCTCAATCTCCCACAGAGTGAGGCGATTACTAGCATGCATCCAGCCCCAGCGGTGTTTCAGACAACTTCTCAACCACAGCTCCTCCCACATAAAATTACTTCGAAGCTATGGGTCAAATTGTAAGCTGGGTGAAAAAAAAATTTTAGATAGTGATGAGAAGACATGAGAACACGTGAAAAACGTCGAAGATGCAAGGGAAAGCAAAAGGAGATCACAGAAATGGAGCAAGGGCTTGGGGCAGACCGGATTGCGGACTGTGGGCAAGGGGAGTTAGAATGGAATGTGGAGCGGCTGGTTAAGTCTGGGAAACGCAGAGTTCGCGGGGACGGGGGAAGGGTCGCCAGGAACAATGCGAGGGCTGGCCCGGCGCAAGGGAAGGCTGTTTGTCACAGAGAGCTATCGTGAAATGAAGGGATGGCCAGAGACCGTGGGCATGTTGGCCCAGGGCGGGGCAGAGGTTTATGTTAACGTGAGAGTTAGCCTACTAAGGAAAAGGGTTAGCCTCGGGCATGGAAAGGGCGGAAGTGGGAAAAGGTTAATTTCAGGGAAGAAAATGGAGGGAATGGAGGTCAGGCCGCGATACGGGGGCGGACAACACGGACAAGTGGTGGGGCGGACAGGTGATCCAGAGAGCTGTCCCCCCCAGAAAGAGTTCCCTTTCGCGGCACGGGGGAACTATTTCTCGGTGACACCGCATCTGTACCCTCTCGCTACGACTGCGTGGTCAACATCTCACCCCCATCGGGTTCCTTCGCCGCCGCCGCCGCCGCCTCCGCCGCCTCCATCCTGAATCTGTCCGACTTGTCAACTGCCGAAGCAAGACTCGCACGCCAACCTCGACCGTCTGCCCTCAATAACCACTTCCGTCTGTGCATTCTCCAAAGGGTTGTATGCTCTCGCTGCGCCCGGGCACTAAGGTTCCGCCTTGAAGCGGACCTTCCTATGCGCATGCGTGCCTCTCTCGGGCCCCACCCTCCACAATCAGGAAGGAGAGGACCGTTAGCCTCTCCTATTTGAAGGTGGAAAGTCAGGAGACCCAAACCACGGTTTATTTGTTCGCTGCTGTTTCTCCAGCTTCTGACGTGCTTAATATGGGGGACAGATGGTCCAGTGAACACCCTCCAAGAAGTGGAGCTATCAGACTCTTGAGGTTTTGCTTTTTTTTTAGAATTCCGTTACTTTCGTTACCACCACAAGGAGCGTTTCTAAGCCTCAACTCCTGTCATCAGTCCTTGGGCGGCATGAGATGGGTGAGAATAATGATAGAACTTACCACTTTGTGTTCCCACAAACTGTGAAAACCAGAGACACGACTACCTTGGCCATGCTGCACCCCCAGCACTGTCCAGGACAGCTGAAAAGAACAGGCAACCAAAGCATACTAGTTGAGTAATGTGCACATTTGGAGGAAGAACTGTGTTCTTGATTTGCAGACAGACACGTCACCAGTGACAAATGAATGGCCAGGTCTCTGACGGACCTAGGGGCTGAGGGCTGTGCCTGCTCCAGCCTGGGTTAGAGCAGGTGTCTTTCTGGAAGGGAAGCCCAGGCTGAGACTCGATGAGCAGTTCCTTCAGAAGGCTGGCACAGATAGTTCTGATTGTGGCAAGCACTTCAGTACACTCAGGGAGTAAAACGGGTTCTAACTCGTCAGGTGTTCCTGCATTTTTAAGTCCCCAAAAGGACTTATGATCCTCAAATGAAAGAACTACTGATCTGAATCTGAAATAGGGAGTAGAGAGGTGAAAGCCTTTTAGGTCACCAGGTTGGGGCCATGCAGGGACTCATAAGCCTTATTAAACGGCTTGAGCTCCTTTGTCCTACAGGGATTGAGCCAGGGGATCAATGTAAGGGACTGGAGAGAGCTGAGAAAGTGGCTACAATAGCCCAGACACCGGCTAAGGACAGAGCCAGAACGTCCTTATTTATATTCTCATGAGATTGGATATGTGAAGGCTTTGAGGCAGGGTATTGCCACACCCCATAGGTGGGAACACTGCCATATAAAGGCCAGCAGAGGGCGCTATCGCCCAACACACGCACCTGCTGCGAAAGATCTCGACTCGAGGACCTGAGTCCTCGAAGCTCTCTTCCGGAGCAGTTACCACTTTTAGCAGCTCACTCCGGGCTCATCCATGTTCAGATGCTCCACACCAGAGTTCAAGACGAGTCAGCTCACCCCTTCCCGTTTTGTTTTGGCTTTTTGAGACAGGGTCTTGCTCTGTAGTTCAGGCTGGCCTCTTAAACTCACGGTGACTCTCACTTCAGCCTCCTGGCATGTGTCACCGCGCCAGACTCCTCCCTCGTTTTATAGGATGTGTCCTTTCACAAAGTTCAGCAGCTCTGTGAGTGGCAAGTGGGGTCTGAATTGGTCACTCCCGCACCCTGGCACTGTCTCTCCAGGGCAAGAAACAGCATGTACAGGGAATGGAAAAATTTTTTTTTTTTTTTTTTTTTTGAGATAGGGTCTCGAACTCACAATGATCCTCCTGCTCAGCCTCCTGAGTGCTGGGATTACAGGGGTGCGCCACCATGCCCGGCTTGGGAATGGAAAAATGCAGCTAGGGCGAGGTTGATGGGCCAATGGAGATGTGAATCCCACAGCTCACTCCTGTCACTTCTCCCCTCCCAACATCCTCATGCTGTCACTTTCTGATGACAGGTGTACATTCCCTGTGGAGTGAGGTCTTTGTGAACATCAGAGATAGGACTACCTTGGCCATGCCGCACCCCCAGCACTGTCCAGGACAGCTGAAAAGAACAGGCACCCAAAGCATACTAGTTGAGTAATGAAGCTCCTGGAACTCCAATTAGCGGGCCACACGGTAGGCCTGAGCTGCACAGCCAGTCAATATGCAGTCCTGGCTCTGAATAAGTCAGCCCCAGTCTATTCCATTGGTCCCACCTGTCCCTCTGCCTACAGACCTATTCTGTGCCTTCTAGAAAGATATTCCTGAAGGGACTTGGGACAGAGAGAGAAAACCACTTTAAAAAACTGTAAGCTGGGCATGGTGGCACACACCTGTACCCCAGCACTCAGGAGGCTGAGACAGGAGGATCGCTGCAAGTCTGAGGCCAGTGTGGGCTAGTGAGTTCAAGGTCAGCCTGCATTACAAAGACAGACTGGCTCTGAAAACCAAACCAAGCCAAAACAAAAAAAATACATAGTGAGACCTTGTCTCAAAAAACCAAAGCAAAACACCCCATTAGTGTATTTTAAACTGGGGCTTTAGGTTAAAGGGATATCCTCAGCACTAAAATCTTGGGGCCAGGAACACAACTCCCTCAGTAAGTGCTTAACAAACAAGTAAATCATTTCCCCTTGCAAAGGCTCCCACCCCAATTAAAGGTAAAGTGCATAACACTTCAGGGTTTCAACCCTGCTTCCTTCCTACAAGGAGGTGCCATGTCATTTATTGAAAGAAAACAAAAGAGGGCAAACATATTTCTTAGTAAGTGCAGTTTGTTAAAATCCTGTTAAAACATTTAGGTCAAGGGGAAGTAATAATCAGAGGGTCATGTAGGAAAAACTGAGATCTGGCCCCGAGAGAGCCCCCGAGAAGGTGCACTGGGGGAAACTCCGCATTCTGGAGCTTCGGAAGGAGCCCCCCACCTTTCACCCTCTCACCCGCTTAATCCCACCAGAAACTACCAACACGCCTGGAATAAAAGGTTTCAAGTTCAATAGTCACACTCTCTCCAAATACAAAAAGCAGTTACAATTCAACTGAACACAGAAGCTTGTGTGCAAAGTTACGGGGAACTGAGACATCATATAAAAAGTTAGGTTAAAGATGATTCTGTGGTTTTGTGTGTGTTTTGTTTTGAGGGTGTGGCTCTTCCCCGTCACCTGAACTCAGCAAAGAAACGGTTATTCTGACAAAGTATCAATGGTGGACTGACAGTAAAAACAGACAAGTTCTAAAAATTAAAAAAAAAAGCATAATTACCAAAAAAATATGTCACTGCTCCCTCCCTCTGCATTTTTTAAAACTTTTTTTAAAAAAGTTTTTGATTTTGTTTTTAATCTTGAAAAGTAGACAGTAAAACAGCTCCTGGAAGAATTTACAACCAACTGCATGAGGGTCTGGGAAGCTGAGGGACTAGAGCAGGGTTGGGAGGACTGAACAGGAGAAGGTCTTCCCTTCAGTCACTGTGGCCTCACCATGTGATGAAGGGAGAGAGGGGCTCTTTAGTCAAAATGTGGAGAAGGAAGAGGGAGAGGAGGGGGGAAGTGAAGGGACAGACAGAAAATAAAAGCTCATTGTGGCCTGTTTAAATCCAGAGAAAAATGCCTGGCCTGTGTGTGGGAAGAAGCCCCTCAGACGGGAGGCAGTGGGCCGAAGGGAAGCAGCCCCGGGATGACCCCAACCCCAGCACCACAGGACCCAGTGGGGGTAGAGGAGGGGCCAAGGTAGGCGCTGGTGGAGGAAGCCGGCAGGGGCCTCCAGGAGCCTCTGGACACACTGGCTACTGTGTGCTTGCGCCACCCTGTGTGCTGCCGGAGTAGCTCCCATAGTCGTAGTTCCCGTAGTACGGTGGCCACTGGCCCTGGTTCTGATAGTACTGGTTCCATTGCTGAGCATACTGTGGAGAGAGACCAAGAGCACAAAGTTGTCCTCTATCCATTCCACATTTAATTCCTCCCTGGCCCATCCTTGTCTAGGGCAGAGATGGGTGACAACCATGGACATTTGGGTCTACTGAGAGAGAAATTAAGGTACCTCAGAAGGACAATTGGCTGACCTGATGCCAAATGTAAGGCCATTTAGAAACTGCAGCACAGGTCTTCTGGCTTGCCAACACAGAGCCCTTTCAGGTATCATATTCCAAATCAAAATAAAAAAAATAAGCTGGGCGTGGTGGCGCACGCCTGTAATCCCAGCACTCGGGAGGCTGAGGCAGGAGGATCATTGCGAGTTCGAGGCCAGCCTGGGCTACAAAGTGAGCTCAAGGTCAGCCTGAACTGCATGGCAAGACCCTGTCTCAAAAAGAAAAGAAAAGAAAAAACAAACAAACAAAAAAAACCCACCAGGTATGGTGGCCTGGGTTTGGTGCCCCCTGGCCATGGTGCTGAAGCAGGATTTGGAAACCCTGCCCTGCCGGCCCCTCCGTTTTGCTCAGTGCACCACAGACAAGACAGCAGTTGTTTAAAAACCAGTGCAAGCCAGGCTAGATCACCCTAATGCCAGCGTGGAAATACAAACTCCAGAAGGGTCCCTGAAAATCTCCCCCGTTCCACCAGTGCCTTGCTTGTCACCTACCTGCTGATACTGGTTATAGCTGGGCTGGGGGTAGGTCTGTGCAGTAGGGGGCGGTGGAGGGGTATAGGGGGCCGGGTTGTAGCCACCGTAGCTTCCGTAGTTGTAGGCAGGTGGTGGTGGAGGTGGAGGCGGTGGGGCTGTGTAGCCCTGGCTGTAACCTCCCTGGTTGTAGGGTGGCTGGCTGTAACTCGGCTGGAAAATGGAGAGAAAGACAACTTTGTGAAAGAGCCTGCTTACAGCTGGGAAGGAGAAAGGGCCTTTGTAAGCAGTTAGCCCACAGAAGTTCTTCCGTGGTGGAGGCTGTTTGGTACAAGGAGGTGAGCCAGGTCTGACATGGCAGGACAAAGTAGGTTGAAAGGAAAGCCATGGGATGACAGTCTGGACTCTAATCTCAGCTGAGACACCAGGGGAGGAAGACACATGGAATCTCTTAGAAAAAAATTTTTTTGGCAGGGCTAGGGTTCAAATCCAGGGTCTCAAGCGTGCTAGGCAAGCACTGTATCACTGAGCTACACACCCAGCCCCTCAGTTTCATTTTCTGTAAAATGAGAATCACAACAAACTTTCTGACTGTATTCAAAGCTTTTGTGTACCAAACACTAGGCACTTAATAAATGGTGGTAGCTGTCACTGAACATCTGCTAAGAAAAAACAAACAAACAGTGGTGACACTCTGCTAAGTGCTTTTCATGTAGTCTGTACTACAGACTCATTTAATTTGTTAGGGTTTAGATCCAGCACCCACCCCAGCGCTGCAACATGTGCTCACAGGTGGGGCGTTAAAGGTGAGTGGATTATGGGGACCTGTTACTGGGCACATGCCTACAAGTGTTTATGTCCCTGGCTCCTGCCTTCATTCTCTGCTTTCTCCATGTGCCATGAAGTGAGCAGATGTGAGCAGCTCTCCTCTGCCACGTGGCCCTGGTTGGAGCCAGCTGACTGGACTGCAGCCATGAGCCAAAATAATGTATCTTTCCTGTCTTCTTTTTCTTTTTGTTTTTCTTCCGGTACCGGGAATTGAACTCACGACCTTGCGCTTGCCAGGCAGGCGCTCTGCTGCTGAGCTAAATCCCCAGCACCTCTCTCTCGTTTTCAAGTTGTATATTTTAGCTGTTAATCTCTCAGCAATGAAAAATGACTTACGATCCATGTCACCTCTTAGGGTAGGTTCTATTAGCTCCACTGTAGAGATGGAACCCAAGGCTTAAGGTGAAATCATTGAGCCAAGGCCATACAATTAAAAAGAATTGACCTCTGGATTTTCCTACTTATAGAGCCTTAACTACTAAGCTACAGTGCCACCTGACTCTCACAACAAACCTCAGAAATGAGTTCCACTAATACCTTTAGTTCTTTAAAGGGAAAATGAGGCCCGTAAGGCTGAAGCTGATTTTCAGCATCACAAAACCTAGAGATTTATGAGGCTGGTGGTTTGAAGTTGTGTCTACCCAACTCTTGCGCTAGTACATTTTCTGGGTAGATCAGAGTCTGGCAAACACCAATGTGGTAGCTGCTCCCAGGCCTAGCATATGGAAGGTGCTTAGGAAATGGATGCATGACAAATGAGATTGCTTTGGCTAGCAGATATATACCACAGCCCCAGTAATAACTCTGCAAGACCTGGAATGCAGCCCAGATCTGCTCAGGGGTGAACCTCTTGGTGGAGAAGGCAGGTCCTGAGTTTGGACCCCTGGTCTCCAATCTGAGGACAAGCAAACAGTCCCTTTCAGCATGGATTAAGAGGTGACTGCAACCGAGTGCTTTATTGGGGATCCAGCTGAGGCCAGCAACACAGCCAAGACATACGTACCTGTGCTAGAGGTACTGAAGCTGACAACCTACGCCTGGGGTCAGGGGAGGAGGGAAGGTTTTAGGCATGGCCAATTCATTTCTGGGTTTAGAGGTATCTGGCAATTCTAGGGTCCATCTGGAAGGGCTACCAAGGAGAATGAAGGGCAAACAGAACCAAAGCATGTGTTAGTGATCGCCTTAGACCTGCTTCCTCTCCCTCGCTCAGGTTTAAGAACACAGATGTGCACATCTGAGTGCAAATGTATGCACACGCCCTCACCTGTGGAGGACTGTAGCTGCTGACAGTGGGGGTGCTGGTATTGGCGCCTGAGCCAGGGATGTTGCTGTTCTTGTTGTAGCTGCTGGCCCCTGGGGGGTTCCGAGCAGGGCTGTAGCTGGGTGGTGGC